CACAAATCGCAAGCCACGGTGAAGATTCGTCAATATGCATTCCGTGTACAAACAAATGCGTTTAAAAATGTCAGCATTTAATACCCAGAAATATGTGGTGATTTACGCGCAAATCGCATATTTGACGGAAAATTTATAGGTGCTTTTACCACTCCATGATTATGAGTAAATTTATGATTGACACTGATTTTCCAAGCCCTCAAAAATGTCGTAATCATATAGGCAGATCTCCATAGTTCAGTGTAAATATCTATACTACTAAGTCGTCCAACCGAATTTCACAGTATCTTTTGCATCGCATCAACGTGACCGATCACCTCATCGTCGATGTTGTTACTGGTATCAGTTAACACACCATCGTGTCATAGCATCATATACATTGTCACAAGCTTGTTAGCTTGGTATCAAGTTAACATCCATCATCTATCTCTCTCCGCTTTTCTTTGATCGAGGTTGGTCCTTTTCATCTTTGGCCTTTTCATCTTGACGTGTGTATACTTGCACCGTTCAACACAATAGACAAACCGATCTCACGCATCGTCTCAGATCGGTATTATGAATCGATGTAATAGACTTCCAGGTAACTGCCGATCGCATTCGTCAGAACGGATAGTAATCGATCCGTTCCACCCTTAAATTAGATATGTAGCGACGACACAGGCTGGTACGGATGAATAGTGTACATTACTTCAATATTTTAATGTCCTTTTTACCACACAATGGCGTGATTCTCTAACACAACGTCATCATAAGCGAAGTATGTCAATATTCATGCTATATTGCAGATGATGTTTCGTGTTTTACCATTGGCGGCAATAATATTGCAGCGGAGCTACACAGTTCCATAAGTCAGAGGAAGACTTAATGCTCTACGAGCAACTTCTGGTTCAAAGAACCCGACTCAGGGAGTCAACGAGCTCATAGAGCTTAAGGTCCCTGTTCCAGGGGACCAAACGATTCATAGAATCACAGCACAGAGTGCTATAATATTAGCTGCATTATCAAGGCGTATGCTATACTCTTAAACGATCGCAAGACGTCTTAGAAAGGCACGTGTGTTTCGCAGATTAAAAGGGAACTGAATTTGTATTTCTTCTTTGTATCGAAAAGAAGCCCTTAGAAGAACTTCCTTTATCGAGACACTAATGTTATAATTATTTACTCCTAAAAGATCACATAATTCGGTGGCTGACACACGTCAGCACTCAACAACTGATACGGTATTTAATATCATTTTCAACGGGACTCCGTCCCTGGTGTAACCCAAACACGTTGTGTAACCCCGTTGCAACTATTCGCAGTTACTGATTCGAAACTCATTGACTGATGCAGATCACGACAGCAGCCATTCAACCACCTATTGGTGCCGAAAGCGCTCAACGGGTGGTGAGTAAGGGATCTCCCCCTGTCGCCCTAGGTAATTAATAATTACTGCAGTCCAGGTGCTGCCAATTCAATATCCTTTGAGATTAGTGCAATGTCTTAAACCAATCTCTGGTACGTACTGCTCTTTACTACCGCCAAGGAAAATCGGTACTGAGCATACAGCCACTCTGCAGAAAGAATATGTCGAAGCATAAGATCCTCTAAAGTGCATTATCCCTCGCTGTGGTAGGAGTGTATGTAAAACGGTCAAAGCCGGGTCTATGTGGCACGGATAAAAACCCGACGATGGTACCCGTTGCGTAGTGCGATAGAACCACGCATCCATTAGCACGTACCCAAACGCAGCTTATTAATCCAAGAGGAGCGTGTAGGTGGCCTGCGCTGGAGAGGACGGTAGTTGGTCGTCACAACACACGCTGAATAACTGTACCAAACATTATGACAAAAAGAGGGATAGCAAGGTGTCAGCCTATATATTTGTAGTACATAATGATCACTTGGGCAATGGAAAATTATATCACATCACGTTTCTATAATTGAACATTCAGTTATTTTTATTCAATGTTGACTAGGCGCGTTCGATAGTTGACGCGCGTCTTCTACACCCTAAGTGTGACAGAGGGTTCGAGGGACCCGTACACAGAAATTTGTGTGGATAGGTCATATTTCATCATCAAAGCCGTAGGGTATCCCTTTACGTGGTAGGTGTATGAACGTAGGTCATGCTAGCGATCCGCATGATGCAGGAAGAGTGCGTCGGAAGCTAAACTTCGACAATGATGGACCAGGATCCTCTAGATCCAGAAATTACCCGAGACTCACCGTCGGAGATGTTGTCAAGCAATCTTTGGACACTGGGGCTGATTTACTGAAAGCTCAGGCTGCTGTCTTCCCGGACACTCGTGATCTGTGGCGTTTTGTCGTATCGGCGACATTTCATGTCATCTTGGTCGAGCGCCTCCGCCGCATGGAAGACTCGTTTCTATCAAAGGACGCTCAGTGCCAAGTCTATCTTTCGCCGGTCGGTGCGAAGGTTTCGTGGGTCAACCTACCAGCCTGACATGGGAGAAGACGGGCACCTGTTTGCGCAGGTACGGTCAGCCTTGGCTGATACGCTCCTTTGCTCCGACAAACCTCCTTCGTTGCAAGTACGGCCTATCAAACCGTGCGCAGGCGTGCTATACCTCCTCTTTTTCGATGGCGGATCCCGCGGAAATCCAGATCCAGGAGGAGCTGGATCTGTTATTATCCGTCTCCACGTTCCGACGCACGCTGCATGCGTTTTATAGGTATCGAGCGTGGCCTATGGCTCTGCCGATACCACAAACAATATCGCTGAATACTAGGGGCTCGTCCACGGTCTTCGGCGAGCAAAGACCAACGGCTACTTACCCCTGCATGCCATTGGGGACAGTGCGATTGTGCTTTCGCAGCTCCGAACACGGAGCCCCCCACGCAAGCAGCACTTGGTGCGATTATTCGCAGAGACAAGCGCCATCGCTAACGATATCACTGTCTCCATCTGGGGACAGCATTATCGCACCTACAACAAAATGGCGGATCGACTGGCAAATATCGCAATGGACACAGGAGCTTCGGTTGAAGCGCACGATACTCCTAACTCGGTCTAGCCCAGGAGGCGACGACCTTCCTTGATTCTGATGTCAATCATTGGTTGGAGACCTCTCAAGCCGAACAACACGTAGTACAAGGCCCCGTCCTGACAACGAGGAACCTAATCATCTCGAGACAGGAGGTTGCGCGCAGGCGCGCTGCTGTCCGAGACCTAGTGCTACCTAGTATATAATGTAGCGGTCACCCTGATCACCTTGTTGCCGGGTGACAGGATATAGTAGGTCGTACGCGTAGCCAAATCTACCTCACTTACTCACTCACTCACCGTCGGAGGAAAATAGGCAGAAACCGTTCGCGTGGTCACCCTTTCGTATAGACGTAGAGATTTTCATGATGGAGGATCACAACGTCGACAAAACCCGACCGAACACATGCTAATTTCGGCCTTCCTCTGCAATTTAGGGATGGTATGTCGGCAACGGGTTGGTGCACGTCAATGATGTTCTGCGCTATGGCAGTGTGGTTCAGCTGGAAGCAAGGAGTGTGAGCCCTCATGATATGGAGACACCCTATTCAGGTAGGATCAGCGAAGACGCATGTGCACTAGTAGTCATGCTCTCGTGACCTTCCGTTTCCAGACTGCGTGGAATATGGCGTCAAGTAGTACATTCTATCATCCATTGAGGGTAAGGGACGACTCCATTTATCCTTTTTTGGTTGGATCAGTCTGCTCAACCGTATCGCATTCTCGCCACCACTCACCGACAGTTCCAGCTTTCAGCTCTTATCTTTACATATCATGCTGAAATGACTACACCCTCTTCCGCGATCCACGATTGGACGTTGATCATTGTAGATGCGTTCTGTCATTTTGGCACCACGAAAGGAAGGACACGTGAAGTTGAGACCAGTGCCGGTAGTAATTCCTGAATACTTGACGAGTTCGGGCTTGCTGAATCAATACGCGACGAATCTTAGGAGGCCAGATATGTATGTTGCTTGACGAGTCAAAACGTCGACGAGCCTTCGGAGATCAGCTATTTATTTTTCTTGACCTACATGTAGAAGTGGGAGAAGGACCGAGAGTCACACTAGTGGCTTCCACGACGCTAAGTCAGAATCGAAGACTTGCTTGAATACAAAAAGCGCATCTCTGCCTACACGATCATTTTTTCCGTGTATAGACAGATGACGTTTTGCGAAGACACGTCAAGCTGGAGAGATAGATGCACATCAGACAAAATGGCCTCCCTGGCGCGATTGCGGTGAACAACGCGCTGGCTCAGACTTGCCTCTAGCATGCGATAGCAGTCTTGAACATATTCAACGTACGACCGGAGTTTATAGGCGGTGAGTATGTGTTGCATGGTTGGCCTCCAAACATCATGCGAGGTACTAAAATGCGCAGACCTGCTGTGCGGTGCTATCGCCTCAAGGGTGCGTGGCCGTAGCAAAAACAGTAGGGGGCGTACCAGTTGCACAAGAAAGTTGCGAGTGCAGATCACAAGCTCTTTCCGACAGATTCTTCTGTTTTCGATATGGCCACTCAAACTTCCTGCTTCCTAATGGTCATTTCCTGGCTGGCCACTGTCTTGTTACAGGGTTTGTCAGGACGCTGGTAATGGCGAAGCCGAAACAACGTGTCGCTGCCCGGTTCGAACAAAACGCCGTCAAAGCTGCAAAGCTGCAATCTCTGTCTCGTAAGCACGTGTGCTTGCACAAGAAAGAGCAATGCTTCGACTGGCTTAACGGCCTTTTTGCTAGAAGTGTTGGCCGTTAGAATACCGGAAGATTGGGGATTGCAAGCGACGGTATTTCAATGTCCGTGCAGTCACATCGGAGTATTAAGAATGAGCTCTCACCTTCACAGAAATTGTACTGTTACTGCTTGCTGATTGTTGTGGTACGGAAGCTGACCGTACAAAAGCCATAAAACAATGAGCCTGCCGTCACAGAAATTGTACTGTTGCTGCTGGTGCTGGCGTTCGAATGCGCAAAGGATGGACAGGCTGTTTCTAGTGAGGGAGCATGTGCCAGCTCTACCAATCCACGGACTGGAAACGTTCCAACGAGGCCTGGGCCTCTCCGAGATCCTTTTGCACCTTAATGCGCTTGTAAAAGATCGGACAATCGCGACTGGAACACAGCACGTCTTGGTGCAGACTACCCTGGCAGTTTTGACACTGCGTCCAAAGGCGCGCAAACATGTGCTCGAGCTCATTGACCGACACGAGCTGACAAGAATACACTTCTGCCTCGCGCTCGACGCAGCTGCGGCAAAGCGCTCCCTTGCCATTCAGCGGGGCCTTGCAGCCCAGACATTTCAGCTTCTTCACAGCAAAGTTCATCATGCCACCGCTGTTCTGCTTCAAAATGGGTTTGGAGCGCTTGAGGGTGTGCGCACCATTGAGGAGATCGGACTTGACCTTGCTCAAGCCAATAATGGGCTCGAAAATACGCTCCAGCGGGTTCTGCAGCTGTTGTTTCATGTAGTAGTCGCAGTCGATTGGAATGTTGTTCTCCAGGGCATACACAGGGTCCTCCGCTTTTTCGTACAACGGCGTGGCCTTGCCCTTGTCAATAATCACGTAAGCGATACGCTCACCAAGAGCTGGAGCCGACCCGGCATCTCGTTTGCGCATTCGCTCAGCCAGCTCAGTGTGGGCCTGCTTTACCTTGTAGTCGTCTTGATCAACCATCTTCTTCAGCCCTTTCGTAATTACCAGCAATGAGATATCGATACGGTTCTGCAACAGATCCGAAATAACGTTCTTTGTGTACGAAATGGCACCTGGCACATCCCGGTTGATTAGGATCTTGCGCAATACTGACTCCACCATGCGCCGTACTAGCAAGCAATTGTCACGGCGCACGGTTTCAAGACCTTTCGAGTCCAGCTTGTCGTACTTTTCTGGCCGCGTCCAAAGCAGACCGGCGTACCGCTTCTTATTCATTAGTAAGTACGGGAAGTATACCTTTTCGAATTCGAGCTTGATTGGCGATGGAAATATTGCTGATATACGCTTGGCAGCCTCTTCAGCAAGTGGCATGGCATCTTCCACGGAGTCAACACCAAATTTGATCATCACAGAATCCGTGTCTCCGTATATCACTTGTGCATCCGCCTTGTAACCGTTTGCAACAGTGTACACGCGCTCGACTTCCTCACGCGTCCGAAACAGCAACTGGCGACCATATGCTGTTGTACTTGACGCAATTGGAATGCATGGCATTTGCCCGACAATTGCGCCCGTGAAACCGTACACGGAATTCGCACTCACTTTGAGGGCAAGTTGTCGACCGTTTTGCACTGCTTTCTCCATTGGATCGGTAGCGGCATCCATGTCTCGCTTCGCCTGCTTTCGCGCTGCCAGCACTTCCTCCAATATCAGTGGCAGAATGCCCTTCTTCTTTTTGCTTGTCACGAAAATATCTCCCGATGGAGACTTTTGGTAGTCACCAGGAGCCAATTTGTCCGCATCTCCAGGTGCAACTAGCGTCGAGTAACAAAGGTTGAACGCCTGCATGATCGACGGGTACAGCGACGCAAAATCAAGAGTCGCGATAGGTACTGTGTAGAACGCTTTCTGGGGCTCAATTACAGTGGCACCCTCGTAGCCCGTATCTTCATTGTTCTGCGAGCGAGGGAGTGTTGGCACAACGAGTGACGCGTCCTTGCACTTGCGCAACAGCATGGAGAAAACCTTGATCTGCTGACCGCGCTCAATCAGGAAGTCGATCGGGACGCCAGAAACACGGGCCATTTCGATGTAATTCACAAGATACGAGAGTTTGTCCAGCAATCGAAGCGGCAAGTACGCATCTTTGAGACAGTATACAGCGAGACGGTGGCGATCGTCATCAGTCCCCCGCTGCAAGTCACTGATGATACCGTGAGGCACGTCTTCCTTCTGCTGACCCAAAAAGGCAGCACTCACTGCGTTCAGTGAGTACGAGCTTAGCTGTTGGCTACGGCGCATGATCGGCAGTAAATCGAACATGCATCGTCCATGGATTGTCGTTTTCACGTTTTCACTCTTGCCGTATTGCGCCGAACTAAACGTTTTTCTTTCCATATACGCCGTTCTGCCGTAAGTCACACCGAGTTCAGTCAGTTTCATATCATGACAAGAAATATCAACCAGTAAAAGTGCGTAATGCGTACGAGTTTGCTAGTCGGCCCAGGAGGTTGTAATGCTGCAACTTGAGCGCCTTGCCACGGTTGAGAACGTACGGTATGTCAAAGTTGGCGATATTGTAACCCGTGATAATGTCCGGGTCCACGTCCTGCACGAAGCGTGCCCACTTTTCCAGCATGTCTCCTTCTTTCTCAAACTCCATCACATGAGCGCCAACTATTGGTTTGCAGGTGTCTAGCACAAAGACATTGCGGATCACAGGTATGGGAGATCCCTGCTCCTGTACAACGTTGGCAATCTGAATCACCGGGTCTTGTTCTGCCTCCGGGAAGTGCCCTTTCCTGCCCATACACTCGATATCAAAGCTCAAGATCCGAAAAGGAGCCACTTTGCTCCACACTCCTTCTAGAGCATGGCTCACCAAGTTGTCGTATGTGATATCAATCTCTAGCTGACACAGCGACATTTTCTGCGGGGAAGTGCGCACCGAGTACGTCCCGCTTGGCGCTTCTACCCAGTTGCATCCTCTGACGTCCTCGTCGATCATAAAGCGCAGGATAAATGGCACGTTGCTCTCGTACGTCTGGTAACTGCGAAAATCACAACCAGGCAGCGTGAGACCAGCTTCCAGGACGCTACGGAGCTTGGGAACGTAGCTAGGCATGCTCAAAAAGATCTTGAAAAGCGTCGTGGTCTTGTCAAACTGGTAGCCGTAGATGGACATCTTGTCGCGCACGACTTGAACGCCCACGACGCGCGAATTGTTGTTGCTGCTGCTGCTGCTATTGTCTCGCTCCCGTTGGCCCACGGCAGCGTCCAGAGCCTGTCGCACGTCTCCACAGCGACTTTCATCGAATTGGTCGGGGCAAAAGCAGTAGAAATAGGGCAACACGCCATGGACGTGCAGGAGCACGCTGTTGCCTTCCATCGTGACGCCAAACAGGCGGATAATGGCGGCGCTCTGCCGCGCATCGCCACTAGACTGGAGCCCCGGCACTGCTGCTCCTTTCTTCGGGTTCGTCTTGAGCGGCGGTCCGTCGTACATGTCAATGTCGATCCATTGGAAAGCCACTGCGTCGACACGCGGGTCGAGCGGTCTCAGCGGCTTGCGCGACCACGCGCTGGCCTTCGTGGAGATCGGCGCCATGTTCTCCAGGTCTTCCACAAATGTCGAGCGCTCCTGCTGCATGCCGCGTCCAGTCAGACGGGGCTTCTTCGCCTCGCGCTTCCGTGCGGCCATCGCCAAGTGCGTGGACGTGGGTCAAGGCGGGCTATCGTGCGGTGCGCTGGGTTTCTGCCAATCAGACGGAGCGATCGAGTAGACGATCTTGTGATTGGACAAAACCGTGCATTCACCTCTCCGCTTGTCGTGCACGACCTCCAGCCGCGCAACAGCGTCACGGGACGTATGCGCACGAGCTATCGGCGCTCCTCGCGTCCAGTCGCGTGCATTGTGCACCGCTTTACGGCAATACATTGATGCGTCGTGGCTTCTTCTATCATGCGCTCATGATAGCAGGCGACTCAGAGGTCAGCGTAAAGGTCAGTCTGGTTCTTAGTTGAAGCCATTCTGACTTGCAGAGGATTGGGACAGGTACTGTAAAAAGACCACGCGCGTGATACGGCAACAGTGGTCCGTTGTTGCGCGTGGGCATCGGGACAGGCGGCTGCGCCTTTCGTCCTGTGGCAGATTTGCCGTTTGGGTGGGCAATGCACTTGCTACAACAAGACGAGATGCAGCGCTGCTGGCAATGATCGAGACGGTTGTGGACGCGAAAGTGGTAAGGGATCAAGTGCCAGCGGCGATTGCGGCACCGATCGCTCGTGCCTGGGGCTGTTTTGCGTGCAAGAGACTGTCGGGTCGAGAGCTGCGGTCTTCTAAAGACTGCGACGTTGCCAAGCGGACGGTCTTGTGGATTGTAGAAGAGCCGTTTGTTGTTCACGACAAAGGCGTGTCCAGGACTTGATCGTGCTATGGCATTTCTGCCGAGACGATCATTGTGGTCAAACGGTCTCTGCGACAAGTTGCACGTCGAGCGGTACAAAGTCATCACAAGTTCTCGTACGTGTAGGAGACGCTTTGGGTTGCGATGCACGTGTACGGTCCGTCCCCAAAGTTTGCTAGGCGCCGTATCCAACTACACCAACTTTGGTCAACACGCCGCCACAGCGGATGGCTTTCCTGTGGCGCTGGTTTACGCGTCAGGTCACGATTTCCATTGCTTTTTCCATTCCGCAACAAAACTGAGCCAGGAAATGTTCCGCAAAGCAGTTGCAAGCATGCCCATTTCTCTGGACTTGAGGCGATATGGCTCATATCGCATCCGATGGATCCGTGTTGTTTCCAGCAGTGTGTTCACTGTGCTTGAGACGATGGCAATTCGATTGCGCTACGAGTCGAAGCGCACGCACATCATAATCGACATTTCTGCCCAGCAGATGCCGAGTACATCGAAGACAAGCTAGCTTGCGTTAGCTGTTTGTGCACGATGGCTGACCCACATGAGTTCTGTTGCTCAGACAAACTGCTCGAACACTGTGAACTCCTGTAGTGCTCGCAAGGGGTACAGAGAGATTTACATGCGAGCAGCTTGAGCGTCGTATCGGTTGTTTCTGCCGATACACTGACGCGTCGGCGAGTCAAACGCTGGATGGGAGACGAAGAGCTCAATGCTGGTGGACTACCCGTTGAGGCAGTTTCTCTCTTGCACGTACGATGCGGTCTTCGCCTTGACAACTGGCCTTGTCAATGCGTTCTCGATAGCGTCTTGTGCGAGCCGGTCAACCAGAGAGAAGTAGACGCGTCTACTCGACCGTTTACTGGTCGCAGCACGTCTGATACAGCTTAAGTCTGGTAAGCAACGCCGAAACCTCATTCGAGTCCGGTGGTTGTGCGGGGCTGGCCACCGTAGGTGACGGCTCTCTTGGTGGCCTGGCTAGTTGGCGCCGACCTAACAGCAGGCGGGCTCCTTGAATCTTGGCCTCGTCCCTGCGAAACTCTCGCTTCGCTACTGCTCGAATTTGCCGCACGCTTGTTTGCCAAAATCCTCGACGCTTCCTGCGAGAGTTACGCCTTCGCGTTGAAAAAGCGAGCCGGTCAATCAACACAAGTGTCTGCGTTCACTAAGCCCAAACGAGTTGTAAGACCACAAGCATTGAATGTGCACATCCCAACATCTTCGATCGAACGAGTGTGAGCTGCACACGACCGCAGGTCACAGATCCCGGGGCTGTGGTGTAGGTGCCAGAGCCGCAAGCACTGCAAGTTGACCACAGTGGAAACGCCGGTGCGAAAAGGCTGGACAAACACCAGCGAGCGGTATGTCATCACAGGATGTGGATTACAAACTTTCTCGTCTCGTACAACGACGTCGTGGCTGGAATGGACACCATAAAGCATACGACACAACTAAGCCAAAAGTCCTTACGTTTTGCAGCGATCAAATGCTGATCCACATCAGCAACGAAACGTTGTTGCGCCATTGGCGCTACTGTTGGAAGTTGAGGACAATTGAAGTTGAAGGTGCGATTATCGCCAGACGTCATTTCTTGCTTGCATTGTAAGTGGAAGTAGTTGGTGATAGCGGCCAACCCCTTTGAGATGGTTGGAGCAGGGATAGTGAGGTGACAGAGTAACTCGGGGAAGAGGTAGTCATCTTAGAAAGTGAAACCTGTCATCCTCTTCCACAAGAAGTGATATTTCCCACAGCTGCTCCATTACCATTCGTTGGTGCCAGTGTCCCCGACGCACTGCACAACGCTTCTCACCAGATGTCCACGAAAATGTCGGAATGCAGTGTTTTACAAGAAGCCGCAGTTACATTTGTCTGGGACCGTATCTGAGACAGAAGGGCACTAGAACGACCGACCGAAGCGCTTGTCGATTACTGCAGCTCCACCCACTAACACTGGAGACACAAGCGCGAAGGCGGCTTGACTGGTCGAGTACGAACATTGAAGCATGCATGCATTACCATAGGTCTGTTGTCCGCACGCCAATCAGAAAGGGCCGCCCCACGCTCGTCGTCCATTCGGTGACCGACCACCAACACGCATTTGTACGCACGTACCTCTCGCTCCAACCTACTGCCTTACGACAGCTTGCAAACCCACCCACGCTCATTCACCCAAACACAGCCCACCCACCCCATCTGGCCAGAAGTCCCACAACGCGTTGCTCTCTCCCCACCCGCTTTGTTGCCATCTCGGCCTTCGCGCAACCTCCGCGTCCTCCCGACCAATCAACGCACAAATAAATTACCGCTCGGGCATGGAGCGCGTGATCTCGCAGGCACTGGCGGCCGCGCTGCCTGCCCTGGACGAGGCGATCGTCACGTACCTCACGAGCGTCCTCCACGACGAGCTCGTCGACGCCGCGCCGCCGATCCATGACGCGTCGGCGCTCGAGGCGCTCCTCGTCACGCACGTCGCGCCGTTCCTCGCGGAGCCAGCGGCCGAGCCGCGCGTGTGTGCGTCGCTGGCGCGTACTTTACTGGCTACGAGCGAACTTAAGCAGTACTTAACGACGGCCCCGGCCGCCCTTGCAGCGCCCGAGCTCCGCGTGTTGGCGCACGCGCAGAGCATTGAAGAACAGGCGCGGAGAGACGACGTGGGCGACGCCGAGTCGCTCCTCGCGCGCATGTGGGGCTTTGACAAGATCCGGAAGACGACGAACAACGAACTGGACGCGCAGGAGTCGGCGCTCTCGGCCCGCCAAGTGCGCAAACAGGTGAAGCTCGAGCAGCTGACGGCCGAGCAGGCGGCCGAGCAGGCGGCGCTCGACCGCGAGTGGGAAGACGCGCGGTTTCTGCCCGACTTGACGCACGACACGGGCGAAAAGGACGTGCACGTGCCGCGGCTGACGATCCACTTCAAGGGCAAAACGCTGCTGGTGGACACGGCGCTGAAGATCGTCGCGGGTCGGCGCTACGGCCTCGTGGGGAAGAACGGCGCGGGCAAAACGACGCTGCTGCGGTACATTTCGCACTATGAGCTCGAGGGCTTTCCACGGCACATTCGCATCCAACTGGTCGAGCAAGAGTCGGCATCGAAGCTGAGCAAAGACGACCGCAGTGTCCTGGACGTGGTGCTCGCTGCCGACTACGAGCGCACGTTGTTGCTGCAGGAGGAGAAGGAGCTGTCGGCGCGAGAGACGGAAGCGCACGAAGACCACAGTGTACGGCTGAAGGAGATTTACGATCGGCTGGCGAACATTGACTCGGACACGGCCGAGTCGAGGGCACGGTCGATTCTGAGCGGACTGCAGTTCCCTGAGCATGTGGTCGATGGACCGGCCAAGGCGCTTTCTGGCGGATGGCGCATGCGGACAGCGCTGGCAGGCGCGCTGTTCATGGCGCCCGACTTGCTGTTGCTGGATGAGCCCACGAACCACTTGGATCTCGAAGCCGTGATTTGGCTGGAGCACTACCTGGAAAAGTACGACAAGCAGATCATTGTCGTGTCGCACGACCGAAATTTTTTGAATGCGGTGACTACGGACATTGTCCACTTGACGCGGCAGAAGCTCGTATATTACAAGGGTGATTACAACACGTTTGAGAACACGATGAAAGAGAACTTGCGGCAGCAGCGAAAAGCCTATGATGCCCAGCAGATGAAGATCCAGCACATGCAAGAGTTCATCGAACGCTTTCGGGCGAATGCGAAAAAGGCTCCGCTCGTGCAGTCGCGTGTCAAGGCGCTGGACAAGATCCTGCGCAATGAGCTGATTGACGAGCCCGAGGACGAGCACGCTTTCCGGATGAACTTTCCGCCCCCGGAGCCGCTCGGTCGGCCTATCATTGCCGTCGAAGACGTCGGCTTCCGGTATACGCCGACGTCGCCCTTTCTTTTCAAGGACGTGCACATGGGCATCGACATGTCGAGCCGCATTGGTATTCTCGGTGTGAACGGTTCGGGTAAGTCTACGCTCATCAACGTCATGATCGGCAAGCTTCGTTCGACCGAGGGATCCGTCACTTTGAATCAGCGCCTGCGTGTGGCCACGTTTACTCAACACCACGTCGACTCGCTGGACCTGTCGAAGTCTGCCGTGCAGAACATGAAGGAGATGTTCCCTGGCCATGAGCCGGACGAGTTCCGTTCGCACCTTGGTCGCTTCAATCTCTCAGGTGAGCTGGCAATCAAACCCACGCGTACGCTATCCGGTGGTCAAAAATCTCGTGTCGGATTTGCACTCATGACGTGGCGCTTGCCGCATGTTGTGGTGCTCGATGAGCCCACGAATCACTTGGACATGGAGACGATTGACGCGCTGATCGATGCTCTGCGTGATTTCAAGGGCGGTGTGGTGATTGTTTCGCACGACCAGCACTTTGTCACGAGCGTGTGCGAAGAGCTGTGGGTGGTGGGCGACCAGAAAGTGGCTCGCTTCCGTGGTACGATGAACGAGTACAAGAACCACGTGCTGGTGAAGAAGTGAGTGTACGATAGATCTCTCTTGGTATGTTTTTCGAGTCGCGTGTCGGGAGCGTTGCAGATCCTGCTGAAAAACGATGTGCGTGTTGGTGAACATGGGCGATGACGGTGCTGTAAAGTGTGCAAGTGGCTCATCAGCTGCTGGCCCGTGTCTGATTGCGCTGGGTGTTCGATCGTCGCTCGGAAGCTGCATTGCACCCATGAGTCAAAGGCTCATGGGCGATGGTTTGTGCCGTAGCAAGAGGAGCGTAGAGCGTAATCAATTCGGTTTACCACTGTGCTCGGAAGTGATCTCATGAACATGTCGTAGGCCATCATGCGTCCTACGATCAATCCTCGCAATGCGTTCGACCTCTGACTTGACCTCAGTAATGAATGTGCAGTCTGCCACTTGATGTCCTACGCATTGCAATTGGGTGACGCAACGTGTTTGCATGTCCGACGGTTCTGTAGAGAATGCTGCGGAAGTGCTGCTGCTGCCAAAACAGTCGTGACGAAGAAAGCTGTGGTTTAGGCTCGTCAAGTTGGCTGCGTAACACTGAATCAGTCGTACCGAACCTACAAAGTCTGGAAGCTATCCGTACCGACTGCATATGCATACTGCAAGTGGACGAAAAGAATATGATTTATGAACTGCTGTAAATGTCGATATGGTGGTGATTAGCCAAATCACAACTTTGACGACTGAGACTTTTTGACACAAAAATGGTCAGAGACTTGAAGGGTGCGTCGTATGGTGTATTCGTAAACATGTCTTGGTCGCTTACGAAAGGGTAATCAGCACACTGTTCTTTCTCTGTCCGGATAAGGCGTCTCCATCAGGCGCATTTGTACAAAGCAGAGTCGACCGTACGTAATCTTGCTGCGGAAAGGTATACAATTCCGTATCAGACATTATCTAGCTACTTACACATCTTCGACGTACGTCGGTGCCAGACTGGATGATATGGATAGGTGAGCCACTGGAACGTCAGATGCGATGATCGAGTTACCCGCTAGTCAATACACGACAATGTCAAAGTGTCATCGACGTGATCTTGGGATCGAATGGAGATGGGGAAGAAGTGGTCGATTGACATAAACTGTCGCGGCGCTCGAGTAGCTACGGTGCCAATCTGCCATTTCTAGCCAAACGTGCTCGAGAGCTTCCTCGTATTCATTCATGACACACTGACGCAAAAGTTTTGCCTCGCGCATCTTCCAAGACCAGGCAACGAAGATGCGATGCTGGTAGTATGAGCACCCACGCCGTCAAAACAAGGACTTCTATCACGCTTGACGGCTTACGGAGTACCAGACCCACGTTCCAGCATCCAAAAGCCCACTTGAGTGTAGGGAAGTAATGACCACTGGCTGGTTAGCACTCAGTAGCGACACGAGATGGAGTCTAGTCAGTGGACGAATATGTGCGGACAAAAGTTTGATATGTATACTATGACAGTGACGCGGATCGCGCCGTCAATTCACTGGAAGTGGATCACACGAACTCGCTACTGCACGTCCGATGGCAGAAACGAGCGGCATTTTCAAGTATTGTATCGTCCGTTCACGCACACACATGAGGCTGTGCTCTCGAACTGTGTGGAAATGCTGGCGACTGTACCGAGGCCGAGAAGCTCCATCATATCCAGCAAAGGGAACTTCGAGATCGTAGCAAATTATCCCTTCGTCGAAGTCGAAAACAGCGTCCGACGTGCAGCATAGCGCTACAGACTGTGCTCAGCTCAGTTACCATCTCTCACACTTACTTCACTGCAGGCACTTTTGGTACCGTCTCAACACAAAAGCTCTTTCGCACAGCACAAAAGCTCTTTCGCACAAAAAGCACTTGCACTCGATTCTGCCATCTCTCGTGTAAATATCCCCATAACCCCACAACCCCACAAACAAACAAACAAACAAACAAACAAACGCGCCAGCTTTCCACAAACAACCGCACCCTCTCACCGCAACCGCCACTTTCCAGCGACACCAAACTCGACTGTCGATAATCACCAAAGAGCCCATTTTCGACCCCAAATCCCACCGCGAGAGACGCCGAAATCCTCATGGCGAGTCTGCGCCGCTTCCTGTACCACGACGCGCCTCCTGCGTCCACGTCCTGGACGGCCGACACTCCACAACAACAACAACAGCAGCAGCAGCAGCAGCAGCGGCAGCTGAGCGCGTCCTACTACGCGTCGCCAGCTCATCGCGCGCGCCGAGAACGCGCCGAGACGGCCCCAGCGCCGCAGCCCCACGACGAGACGGATCGCGCGTTGATGGACCCGTTGGCGCGCGTGTCGCGTTTCTCACGGCGCTTTTTTGACCGAGCGAGCGGTCGTTCGTCGTCGTCGTCGTCGTCATCGTCTTCGGGTGGTGACGATGCGGAAGGTGCGTCGCGTGGCGGTAGTCGTAGACAGTTTATCTACGACGACGACGACGACTACTACGACTACTACTGTTGTTGTTGTTGTTGTTGTTGGGGCTCTGTGTGACTGATACGAAGCGCATTTGTTTGTTGGGTTACCGTTTGATTTGTTGTTTCTCTTGTTGTTTGGGTGATGTGGTTTTGTCGTTCGTGTTGTTGTCTTTGATGGACCACGCAGGAGGTCTGGTGACGTCGACCAGCTACTTTCGACCACGCACGATGGATGGCTACACGCGGTACCTCGAGTACGTAAGGACGGACGTGCAGGAGCGTGACAGCCGCTCGTTGACTTGACCGTGAAGCGGACGGTACTCATGATGATGATGATGGTGATGTGGTGATGATGGCGATGATGCTACGTGTAGAGCTGCGTTTATGGAAGGCATGTTGGAGAAACAGAGCTCGGAAGACCTGAAGCTCTGGAAAAAGAGGTGGTTCGTCATGCGAGACAGCAAACTCTTTTATTACAAATCAGAGAGCGACGTGACGGAGCAAAAGCCCACGGACGAAGCGTGTTGCGGTGTCATTTCGATGGAAAACATCGACTCGGTGACGACAGCGGTACGATGGTTGTTGGCATTTGCTTTTCTCGTGTGTTTGCTGTGTGAAGTAGTAGAGAAAACAGACGCTGTTGCTTCGTTGGTGCTTGACGATATCCCTCCTTTTGTCGTCCCTCTGCTAACTTTCGCCTATGTCTATCTCTTTGGATGCCCGCTGTTGCCGTTTGCAGAAAGATTTTGGTGCTGCTGCCTTTCAGATTCGTATGGAAAGTCGGCGCTACGTGTTACGCGCTGAGTCAAAAGATATGGTACGGACAGTTGTAGTTGTGACGTTGTGGACTAGATTTGTATCCAATCTCACCGATTGTTTCTGCACTAGATGCACGAGTGGCTCTTTAACTTTCAAAAATCAATCGCAAATATCGTACTGGCTCTGTCACGAACACAGGTACGTCATGCTGTCTAGGACGGAAAAAGAAAGAAAGAGTCGCATAATCACACAACGTCATTGCTGGTCAACTTCTTTCAGGCAGAACATCGACCAAACCGGCTATGTAACAGTTTGTCCAGAAGAGTACGTGCACGACATTTGCTTTGCTTTGCTCCAGATACAAGCATCGTTGCTAGTTGCTCATCATCGACTGGCTATGTCTGTGCTTTCGTACGTGGGTATCACAGCAAAGCATGCCCCGCGTGCACCGCAGTGTCTCGTTCGACTATCAGGACCAGTTTCCCGCTACAGCCGCCGTCGATGACACACACGACGGCCGCGCAAGCTGTGGATTTTTTGCATCAACAAGCTTTTCCGACGAATCGACAGGTGGCGACGGCTCTTCGCCTTCGCGAACCAGCCCTCGATTAGCCACTAGCCCGTTAGGGTTTGGTGGGTTTGGGCCGCGGAGTCCACTGATGTTTGCCTTTGATCCGATGGATGACTTGCCGGAGCACCGCACTTCCCCATTGCGGCGAAGCTCAATCGTCGAAGGAAAAGAGGAAAGCTTTGCTTTCGATGACCACCTGCGTCCCAGAGGCCAGTGGGATGATGGAGGCGAGGACGACAGAGCTGCGGAAACGACTGCTGAGACGCCGCCAGTGGGACGACCGTCACCACCTCCAGTTGTCACAGGCAAATACGTTCCTCGATACCTTCGAAATCGGAGCGCTGCAGAGCCAACTTCTCCGTTATCTCTCCCAGTGGATTTGTGCTCAGCACCAGAACCAGCGCCTGCTTCTACCGCTAGCCGTTGGGTGCCTCGCCACCAACGAGAAGGATACGCCGAGATGCAGCCTATCGAGTCATTTTCGATCAACTCTCGAGACTCGTTTCACGAGACCTTCCACGAAGACAGCTCGAGCTATTCCACTGGTGACGATGTCCATGGCGTGACGTCGCTGCTAGGGGTGCGATCAGCAATGGAAGATATTTGCTGTTGCATCCCAGACCTTAACGCACAATTGAGCGGCGACCAATCTCATCATCAAAAGCAATCATTTTATGCGTTGTTTGATGGTCATAGCGGCGTGAGAGTACGTACCATAGACACTGCTGTGCTGTGCTGTCTCCTTCTAATCTTGTTCCTCACATGTGCAGGCTGCAACATTTTCAAACCAACGATTGGTGCCTTATTTAACTGCACATGAGGCTTTCATGGTTGACACACGCCTGGCTTTCAAGGAATGTTTTGCGCGGATCGACGAAGAGTTCTTGCAAAAGGCCGAGGACGAGGCATGCGATGCATCGAGCTTCGTCCATTGCATGCTTGCGTAGAATTGACAACGCTAACCTCTCTCTCAATTTGGCAACTGTGACAGAGTCTGGGTGACGGCACTACAGCAGCGGTGGTGCTGATTCGGGGCAACCGATTGATCACGGCGAATATTGGAGATAGCAGAGCAGTTGTGAGCATCAGAGGCCAGGCACTGGATATTATCGAAGAACAGACACCTGGGCGTGCAGATGAGCGAAAAAGGATTGAAGAGCAAGGAGGCTGGGTGCATGAGGAGCGCGAGCTACAGCTGTCCAAGCTGCATTGCATGGATTTGAGTGACCCCGAGATCCAGCAGCGAGCCGAGCGAGTCGTAAAATGGATGACAATCTACCGAGTGAACGGCGAGCTGGCCGTTTCTCGCGCTATTGGCGATATCGATTATAAGGGCGAGGCATTGTCGAGGTATGAGTACTGGGCGTTTCCCGAAGGCCACGACCGCGTGTTTCGCGGCGATTTGGTCATATCAGTGCCCGAGTGCCAGGTGCGATATTGGATACATGGGATGCTGCTTGACTTCGGCAACAGACTGACGACATGTTGTTTGTTGACAGGAAATCGAGATTACACCCGAATTCGACTTCCTCATTCTTGCCTGCGATGGGCTGTGGGACACCATCAAGAGCAAGGAAGCCGTGAAGTACGTCGCCGATAAGCTAAGCCAAGGGTATTCTGCAAAGGTTCGTATCGATGTGGCTTGCTGCGCTCGAAACGAGATCCTGAGGTGGCTTTTGTTCTCGATGTTTTCTGTCTGTAGCAAGCAAGCCAGTCGCTGGCCAACTTGGCGATACGATCAGGTTCTTCCGACAACGTTTCCGTCGTTATAGTACTGCTCAACACGGAGCAAGCGTCCATCGATACAGGTGCATCCTCAAGACAGTGAAAGCAGATTTGCCGTACAAAAAGCACTCACTAGCACAGAGCTGGAAGACGCTTTGCATTTGCACTCGCGCGTACTGATTTTGAAGTCGAGAGGAAACAAGAGGAAGCGAACACTGTGGCCCAGAGTGTGCACATGTACATCTTCTTTTTGGTTACTTTACTCGAGCTCGCTCGACAACACCCTCTTCCTACTTTTCCACCGACGCAATGATACCTACGCGACAAAGAGAGCCAGAGACAAGTCAGACGAGCAACGAACAGTACCCACCGACACAACCACCCATCCGCTTCGTGCCGTACCCTGTACAATCTTGCCAAAGACCGGGGCCGCGACAGAAGTAGGGTACTCCTCCAGAAACGACACGCCCTCTTCACACGCCTCTGTGAGCTTGTTGTCTAACGGAAGACGTCCGAGGAACGGCACATTGAACATCTTGGCCATCGCTTCACCACCGCCGTTCGATGCAGGGAACACCTCCATCTGCACCGAGTACTGCAGTAGTTCTGGCGCCTTCTCTTGCAGTAGCTGTAAGACGAGCAATGCCGTCGCCAACGCCAAACACAGCACACACAGAAACGTCACTCAGTCTATCCACTGATCAAACGCAGCAGCAAACACAGCCGCACAGCAGCCCCTCCTCCACTCACCTTTCTCACAGCGTCCGTCTCATCGTTGCCGCCTTCTCCGATAAACTTGACATCGTCGAGCCGCCGCTGGACGCCACTCATGTTCTCCACCACGCCCAGCACTTTGATCTTGGTCTTGTGGCAAAAGTTCAGCTCCTTGCGCACGTCGCTGAGCGCCACCTCCTGCGGCGTGGTGACCACCACTGCGCCGTCCAGATCCGCTTCTTTCATGTACTGCACGATGCTAATGTGCTCGTCCGACGTGCCCGGCGGCGTGTCAATAATGAGGTAGTCGAGCTCGCCCCACTGCACGTCCACGAGGAACTGCTTGATGATGCCGCTCTTCTTGGGCCCGCGCCAGATGATGGCGTCGTCGGCGTTCGGCAGCATGAACCCAATGGACATGACGCCCAAGTTGTCGTCCACGTAGACGGGCGACCACCCGGCCGCGCTCTGGTGCACTTCGTGGCCCACGAGGCCCAACATGCGGGGCACACTGGGCCCCGTGATGTCCACGTCCAGCAGCCCCACTTGGTACCCTCTGCTCGCCAGCGCGAACGCCACCTGACACGCCACAGTGCTCTTGCCCACGCCGCCTTTGCCCGACAGCACCAGGAGCTTGTGCTTGACGTGCGCGAGGCGCTGCTGCACGTCCGAGACGGCGGGGTCCGGCGCACGGGCGGCGCCTGAGGCACATGCGCTCTGGTTCGGACAGCCCGCGCAGCCGTCGGCCGTGCCCGCTCGCTCGGACTGCGGGCCGACGCACGAGTCGTTGGCGTTCGCAGGAGGGGCGTCGGTCGCCATGGAATGAGAAAGAGGTGACTGACTGACTGGCGAGGGGGGCGTGGGGAGGAAATGGGTGCATTCGGGCCATGAAATGGGGCGATCTGGGCCATGGAATGGGTGCATTCGCGCAATGGAATCAGATTCGTTGACGGAGGGCGACGAGGCCGTGGGTTTTTTAAAAGACTGTGTGGGTGGGTGTTTGTGTGTGTGTGTGTGTGTGTTTCGGAAGACGGTTGGGGATGTTTGTGCTTTTTCTTCTGACGTGCAGTCGGACACGACGGACCTCTGGTGGCAGTTCGATGGCAGTCCACACGCGTCGCGTCCATTGCGCGAAACGGACGCTCGGCAAGAGACGGCGTGACCCACGCACGCGTTCTGCAATACAGGCGTTGCCCCGCGTTTGCCGGTCGTCATGTCCACACGCACGTTGCCGAACACCCGCGACCAACAGCTTTCGTCCCGTCTCATCATCATTTGTGCAAACGTCGAGAGTTGCCACACGCAATTCGTGTCGGTGCAAAGGCCGTTGTCGTGGAGCAAAGTGTTGGTGTCGAGAGTGTTGTAGCATAACGTGCAGATAGTGCGACTTGCTCACAACGCACCGCTATAGGACGTCAGTGCTCTTTGTCCGCCAGCCGTCTCGCACAGACCGGCGGAAAGCGCTGTCACAAGTGCGTACGTGCTGACTACTTTGACGATAGTTAGTGCCGTGAGATGAGTCGAACGACGACGACACACGTGTGAGAGCCATTGCATGCCGGACAGGGATAGAAATCGCTGAGATGGACATTTCTACCTGCGCTGCCTTCGCCGAGCTGGTCAATTTGCTGACTGACTCTGTTTTGGGCAACTTCGCCAGCCCTTTCACGAATGGGCTCTTTACTTTTGATGACGCGATGGGTGTTTTCGACAGAGTGAGAGAGCTGTTCCAGGTCGTCAAGACCGATCGCGATCAAACAACAGCAGTAGTAGTAGTAGTAGTAGTAGTAGTAGTAGTAGATCGGCTATCTCTCGTTGGTTTGTGTCCGAGTGCAAACGATTGAGGCAATCGACACGCAGAGCAGCTCACTGTGCGCAAAGCCTCCCCACCCCCACCCCCCGACACGTGATTGGCGCTCCGCTCGACCAATCCCCAGGCGCGCACCACCGCTTCTCCACCCACCCACCGACCGACCCACAGCTCGTCCAGCAGCCGCCGCCGCCGCCAATTGCAATAGAGGCCCCTAATTCCCACCGTCGCCCGTAACCCCTCCGCTCGTGCCCGCCACCCCCTGGACGTCCACGCGGCCGCGCAACGCCGTTCGCTCGTGTACCAATGAGCGCCACGTGGCAGCCGCAGCCCGCGCTGCTCGCGGAAGTCGTCGCGCTCTTACAGGCCTACGGCGTGTCGAACAACCACGTGCAGCTCGACTCGTACCAGCGGCTGCAGCAGCTCGAGCAGAACCTCGAGTTCAACCTCTACCTCGTGCACTTGCTCTGTGCGCCCGAAGTCGACGTGACGGTGCGCCAGCTGGCCGGCTTGTTACTTAAGCGCAACATCAAAGCCCGCGACGCCTCGGCCGCACTTAGTGGCCCCGAGACGGAAATCCTCGCGGTCATTCGCGCGCAGACGCTGCGCGTTGTGGCCAATCCGCTGCCGCCCATCCGCAACACTGCCGGCTCGATCGTCACGACGTTTGTGTCGCACTGTACGTTTTTGGACGAATGGCCGGAGCTCATGCCGGCCCTGTTCCTGCTCCTGGACCAGCAGCAGGACGAGCACGCGATTGCAGGGGCACTGAGTGCGCTGGTGAAGATCTGTGAGGATTCGGCCGCGAAGCTCGAGAACTCGCCGAGTCGGCCGCTGAATGCGCTCGTGCCGAAGCTGTTGCACTATTTCCAGCACCCAAACGCCGCGTTCCGTCGCGACGCGCTCGAGTGTCTGAACCACGTGCTGGTGTTCATGCCCGTGGGACTGGTCGTCCACATGGAGACGTTTCTCGCCGGCATTTCGCTCTTGACACAGGACGCGTCGAACGACGTGCGGAAACTCGTGTGCAAGAGCATTGTCTTGCTGCTGGAAGTCGGCGTGCAGTACCTCGTGCCGCACTTGGACAGCATCATCCAGTTTATTCTGCGGGCCAATCAAGACTCGGACGAGGTTGTCGCGATCGAAGCGTGCGAGTTTTGGGCGTCGTTCTGTGACTTGCGCGAATTCGACGATCTTAAAGCGAGGCTCCAGCCGTACTTGACGCAGATCGTCCCGCTGCTATTTCGCTGTATGGTCTATAGCGACGAAGACTTGGCAACGTTTGACGCCGAAGAGCAGAGTCAGGATGAAAACGTGCCTGATCGACCTGAAGATATCAAGCCGGTCTTCCACCGCAAAGCTGGTGGTAGCGGGGGGTTGTCGAATGACGACGGCAAGCAGGGAGCAAACGACGACAGTGACGATGACGACGATGACGACGCGGACGATGACGATACGCTGCTGAATTGGAACCTTCGTCGCTGCTCGGCTGCTAGTCTCGATAACCTTGCTAACGGGTACGGGAACGATATTCTTCCGACGCTGTTGCCGTTGCTGCAAGAACGTCTTGCTCAAGAACAGCCCTGGCCGCTTGTGGAGAGCGGTATTCTAGCCCTTGGCGCTATTGCCGACGGTTGTTACAACGGTATTACGCCCCACCTGCCCCAATTGTACCCGTTTCTGCTGCAGAAGCTAGAGGACCCAGCGCCCCTTATTCGTAGCATCACGTGCTGGACACTGAGCCGTTATGCGACGTGGGTTGTGGAGCAGTGCAACCACGAGGTGCTGCTGAAACCGCTCGTGGAAGGCATGCTGAAGCGCATCTTGGATCCGCACAAGAAGGTGCAAGAGGCAGCGTGCTCTGCGTTCTGCACGCTCGAGGAAGAAGCTCGCGAGGAGCTGGTGCCGTACCTGACGCCTATTTTGCAGAACCTCATGTTTGCTTTTGGCAAGTACCAGGCGAAGAACCTGCTGATTTTGTACGATGCCATCGGGACGCTCGCAGACTCGATCGGCGAGCACCTGAATCACCCTGAGCTGATCAGGATCCTGATGCCGCCGCTTATTGCAAAGTGGAACGCGTTGGATGACCGCAGCCGTGAGATCCTTCCGCTGTTTGAGTGCCTCGCGCCTGTAGCGCAGGCTCTTGGCACTGGCTTTCAAGAGTTTGCAATGAACGTGTACGTTCGCTGCCAGCGGATCGTCGAGAACGAGCTGCTGGCTGACGCCATGTCAGAGCAGAGCCCCGACGAGTTTGACGAGGGCGACCCGGAGCTCATCGTGTGCGCTCTGGATTTGGTATCCGGCATCATCGAGGGTCTGCAGCACAGTAGTGAGGCATTGTTGAACGGCTCAAACATTCTGAATGTGCTCATGAGTTGTGTTCGCCACGACGTGCTGGACGTGCGCCAGAGCGCCATGGGCGTTGTGGGTGACCTGGCGAAGCACGCGCCGAACACGCTGCGTCCGAGCCTGGTCGGCTTGCTGCCGGTGCTGATCGAGAATCTGAACCCAGACTTGCCCACCGTGTGCAACAATGCAAGCTGGTCGGTTGGCGAAATTGCCATTCGCATTGGCGCAGAGATGGAACCGTACGTGGAGAGTTGCTTGAGCCGCCTGATTGAAATGATCAATCGCCCGAAGTTGCCGCGCAACCTGGTGGAGAATTGTGCCATCACTATTGGTCGTCTCGGGTACGTGTGTCCGAACGTCGTGGCGCCGCACTTGCAGGAATTCGCGATGCGCTGGTGCCGTGCTCTTGCGCACGTACGGGCACCGGAAGAGAAGGAGCACTGCTTCTTGGGTCTGTGCTACATGGTGAAGGCGAACCCGAACGGCATTGTGGCTGACTTTATGTTTATGTGCGGAGCCATTGCTTCGCTGGAGGGTCAGCGGATCCATCACGCGGAGCTGAAGGACATGCTGTACCAGATCGTGCACAGCTTCAAGACGAGTCTAGGCGACAACTGGGCCCCGTACTATGCGAGCTTTCCCGAGCCTCTGCGGCAGTTCCTCACCACGCGCTTCAACCTGTAGAGAGCGTGGACGTGTGTATTCGAGCAGTGTGAAGGAGGGGCAACAGACAAGGGAGACGTGGAGGTGAAGTAGATGTCGCGGTGACTGGACTACCAACGAATGGTCGAAACGCAAGGCCGGAACGTTTCGTGGAGGTGCGACAGTAGGAGTAGTAGTAGTAGTAGTAGGTAGGCAGGTGGTAGGTAGAAGAAGAAAGCAGAGAGAAGTTAGTAGATGTCCAGTGTAGGCAGATGCGAGCAGGTGAGGACAGTAGAGGATAGTCGACAAGTAAGTAATGATCAATCAGGCAGCAAGCGAGAATTTCCGCTTGCAAGTAAGTATACCATCACCAGACTTGAACTACGTCTGACGAACTTGTGCTATCCCAATATCCCTTGTCCTACCTAACACGCACTCACGTGCCTGGCGTTGAGGCGTCCGTCATTTCGATATCGTGCTCGTCTGCTGCTCCCGTCAACCTCTTGTCAAAACCTGTCGGCGTCTTGACGCGTGGTGTCCTTCTCCTGCCATGCAACGGCGTCAGTCCGAGCGAATCGTCAAACTTGAAAACGTCAGCAAGAAAGTCGTTCCATATCCGCGGCGTCGAAAACTGCCGCGGGTCGTCATGTGTCGTCACCGCTACTGTCGTTTCGACATCGACAGCACTCATGTCGACGTCATCGGAGCTGTCTGCGATCGAAAGCTTCTTGTCGTGCTGGCTGCGCATCGCCGACTTCTTGTTGCCAGGACTGAAGAAACCCGGCGACCCTAATGGCAGCAGCGTCGGCGAAAACAAAGGCGACGGCAACGTCGAGAACGGCAAAGCCGGCAGCAGCACCTTCTCTTCGCTCTCTGCGCCGTTCGCCAACATGTCGATAAACGTCGGACTGAGCATACCGATCGAGCAGGTAGAGCCTCTTCGGGTTCGCGAACCGGTTCCTGACCGGAAGATCTCCAACGCGCCATCTAGTTCCATGCACAGCAATCACACAGACATACACACAGCACAACATTTGTGAGATACAAGAAGTCGCTCGACAGCACACCACTTGCGTCAATAGAGCGTACCTTTACCTGGATTTCTCGGCGGCACCTCAATCGGTGGTGGTGGCACCGCGCGTTGACTCAGCGAGCTACGTCCCTGTTGGTGCACGGCCACATGGCCACTGGAGACGTTGCTTACGGCCGAGCTGTCAGTCACAGGTGTCTCGCTCGCCTCAGTCGAGTCCACTTCGTCCACCATCTCGTCAAAGCGGGGGTGCACATCTTTGACCGTCTTGTCAGGTACACCCGCTGCAATCTCCGTCCACGGGTACGATTCGCTTCCAGCCCAACCTGCAAGTGCTACCTCAAACGCCTTTTCCTCTTTGAACGACCACGTTGTCGATGACTTGGGTCCATTTCGGCGCAACGCAGCAATCTGCTGCTCTGAAAGCTGGAGCGGCTGGCTACGGGTCTGTCCTAGAGTCTGTCCAGTCAACGCTTGTGCACACTCCAGTGCTGCTGCACTCAGCGCACTTCCACCAGCAGCAATCGGCGCGTCTGGCTGGACTATCCCTCGCTTTCTGGACTCCCCTCTTAGCTTGTGCAAGTCCCCACTCCTTCGTGCCTCACTCGTCAGTCTACTTGCGTCATGTCGACTCCCAGGCGTGAGCAATGACTGGCGAGTCAACGGCGCTACCATCGACGGTGAAGGTGGCAGCTGCCGAACGAGTTGCTGAAGGTACTGCCGGCCGTGCTGACGCACTTCTGCGAGCGTGCGCGAGCCCACAAAGTCCGTGATGTGCGTCCACTCGTCCCCGTCTTGTCTCGAGCCGTAGAGCTCGAGCGCTTGCATGAACCGCCCGTGCTCTTCTTGCCGCCACGTGTCCGATCGGTCGTACCGGACGCCAGCACACGTCCCGACTTCTGTCTCCCACGGGCGTTGGACGCCCATAGCGGCACCACGCGGTGGCTTCTGTGCTGGAATCATATGGCCCTCGTCAACGGCTCAATGTCTTGGACCAAAGTCTGTCTGTAGCTCAATGGCGCTCGATCGCTGTAGCAGTCCAATGTCGTTCGTCGTTGTTGCAAGCCACAAACAGCCGCGTGAGGAGCTCGACAGACTCTGTGAGACGTACACAAGTGCACCACTGGAGCGAGCGAGCGAGCAGCGACTCTCTATCTCTCTCGCTATCTCTCTATCAGTCCACACAGACGAAGAGAGAGAGAGGAGAAAGCCGCACGTGAGTCGATCCTCGCGGCTGTCGGTCGTCTGCGACAGACCACAGAGAGAGAGAGAGAGAGAGAAAGAGCGCAGTAGGAGCGCAGTAGGAGCGCAGTAGGACCGTGTGGCGTGTCGCACGTAGCAGTGGCACTACGAGGGACGCGGACAGTCGCGTGCGGACCTGTTGTGCGGCGGCGTCTCGCGACTGTTTGGGTGCGTTTTCTCACACGTCGCAGCGTTCCATACAAACGCAGCAGTGGACTGCCAGCCGCCGCCGGGTGGCAAACGTCTGTAGCCATCGGCGGCGGCGCGTCCGACTGGACACAGACGTGAAACGTCGTCTGTAGCCATTTCCCGGTCGGTTGACCGCGCGCGCGCGTGGCGAGCAGCTCACGTCGCCGCGAGTTCTTTTGTCGATGCGCGAACGTTCGAGGAAGGAAAGTCGGCGGTTGGGTGTTGTTGTATACATGCGTACAAGCGGCTCGGTATACTGCTTTTTGTGGGCCGATGTGGGGCTCGGATGGGATGGATAGCTTAGCTGCTGCCACGGGCGCAGATACTTAATCAGGGGACGGACATGGAGCAGTAGGTAGACAAAGTACCGCGTGCAGACGAGTTTGTTGCGTGTGGTCCACACTACAAAGACCCCATGCATCGAGCAGCTCGCAGTTGATGTTGAAGTCAATGGTGGGGTTCAGCGGACCGACCGAGCAACGTACCGCGAGACCTGTCTATGCTGATACATCACACCGCTATGTTGCTGCACTTCAATCTCCGCAGCAGCACTCGCAAAAAAGCACTTTCTTGACACGCCCTCTGTGACAAAAGGTGCCCACTACGACAACACATCAGTTGTTCCCCGCATGACAAATGTACGCACGTCGGCGGTTCGGGCACAGCATCTGCAGTCACGTCCGGTCGTCGCCCCGTCTGTCGCCGCTGCGTCCTCGTGCTCGCACATCGTCCACGCGGTCGTCATCTGACGACTCAGAAGAGCGCATCGTCTCGCTGCTCGTCGTGAACCGACCGGGTACGTGGCAGTCCATCATCCCCTCTGCTGCCATCGTCATACGCAACTCGTCCCCCGACTGTTTTAAACACACGTGGTTTTCATCACGCGAGAGGCAGTCGTCGTTTCCTCACCTTGTTGAAAACACTTTTCATATGTTTTGCGTATTTTTGTTTGTTTTGTTTGTTTTGTGTGTTTTGTTTGTTTGTTTGCAATGAATGCACAGGCACGTTGGCCCACATTGCCAAGGTCTTTGAACAGGCCGACAAGAACATCACGAGTCTCTGTGTCCGCTCGACCGTCGTGCCCGAGCTCTCGCGCGTCACGATCACGTGTTTCTTGCGTGACTACGAGCTCGTGGCGCTCCGAACGCGCCTCGGCGCGCTCGTCTCGGTCACGTTTTTCCACGTGACGTCGGTCCCGTTTTGTGTTTTAAACAAACAGCTGGTGCTGCGGTCGCAGCTGCTGCTACAGATTCGACGCCACGCGCGGCGACAGAGCGAGTTGCAGAAAGTCCTGCACGCGTTCCAAGCTGAGCTCATTGTGCCAGACGACGAACAGGACGCAGAACAGGACGAGCCGCTCCTGGCCGTGGATGACGACCACGACGGTCGTCATCAAAGGCGTAATCGCACGCCTCCTGATGATGGCCATTTGACGCCCGATGACCGCTTGCCGCATGACGGGAACGACGGCAGTTCAGAAGCCTCAACATCGACGCAGTTCCTGGCGCTGGTTGACGAGCCCAGTCGATTGACAATGTTCGTGGCTGCGCTGGTGGAGAAAGGGTTTCAGATTCGAGAGATGCAGACGTGTGGGCCGCTGTTTCTCGATACGTCGCACTCGACGTTGGATCCCGACAGCGTGTCTTCGTTTCGACGGAAAGTCGCGCTAGAAGTCGATACGTTGCTGTTGGATGCACGCGCGAGCCGAGCAACGGGGCCTGTCGTCGACAAGGCAACGACAGAGCGCGAGGGTCTAAGCGGAAGGGATCGTGGGCGTACAGACACAGCGTTCGCAGATACCCACGTCACGGTTCCCGTACCGCCGACGTCGACGTTTCAGCTCCACACGGACGATCGAGGCCGTTTCTCGGCGAACCGGTTGGAGTTGCACGCTCGTATTGCACAGCAGCTGTACTCTTCTGTGCCGCAGGACGTGACGGTTCCCAAGTTTGTGCTACTGCTGGGAATCCCCGGCGCGGGCAAGTCGACCATGCTGAGCCATCTGGACCTCGTGGGGCAGCTCACGCTTCAAGATTATGCAAACTTTGACATTGACGATGTCATTGCACTGCTGCCAGAGTTCTACCACGCAGTGCTGAACGTGGGCTTAGGCAATGACCCGGAGAGCTGCAGTGCGCCCGACTCGGGAGGTGCGACAAAACATGCCAAGCGAGTTGCAACACTGTTGCCAAAGCCACAAACACGATACCAGCTTTGCCGTGACGAAGCGCGCTTCATTATCAGGAAGAACCTCGACAGCGCCATCATGTCACGCAAGAACGTTATTCTGCATGGCAGTGGCAAAAGCTTTGACAGCTATGCTCGCACTGTTGACCAAGTGAAGGCAGCCGGCTTTGATGTTCACGTGATATGTCTCGACATTCCAACACCAGAAGCTTACAAGCGGGTAGTCAAGCGCAGCAGAGGCTATGGACGTGACGTTCCTCGACTTGTCATCGACACGGCATCGTCGCTGGTTACGCAAAACTTCCGTCGACTCGCGCATCGTGTGCCCAACGCCCACCTCTTTGACAGTTTGGGGATCCCGCCACGGCTGGTGTGGAGCAAGCAGCAGTCGGTGACTGTCACGGAGCATCCAGACGATGATGTACAGCGAAAGTATGGCATCAAGTAGGCTGCTACAGGTCAAGGATATTCCGCATCGTGCAAGATGGTAACGTGAGAGACAAAAAAAGGGAGACAAGTCTAGCCAGTCGAGGCCTCAATGGGAAGTGTGACGACGACGGACCGATTGCGGGCGACTACTGTACAAGGATGTTTGAGAAGCAAGAGGCGTCTATTCGTACGTATTGCCACGTGGCGCATATGCATCAGACTCCGTCTGTCTACTCTGATACCAGTCTGTGAGTCTACGGCGCCGGAGTGAGTGAGCTGGACGTGTTGCCCGAGTCCGTTTTCAAATAGGCGAACTTGATCGAGCGGATGCCGTTCGGCATGGCCCTGCTCGCCCTGGGTGCTGCACCCCTCTTGTGGATTTTACTGTAACCAGTGAAGCGCCGCTCATGCCCGACAGAGTTCCCGTTTGCCACGTCTTGGTGCACCGGAGAAGGTTCGCGCTGATTGTAGTTGTCATTGTCGTACACGATCACGTCAAAGTCGTTTGCGTCGGTCTTGAACAGCATCAGCTCGTTGATCGAGTCTTGGTATCGGCTGTCTACGACAGGCACGTCCTCTGAGTAGCACACCCCGAAGCCATCGCCAGAAGAAGGCGTTCCGAGGAAACAAGCCCGTCCGGCCTCTTCGACGTAGACTTCTTGAACCGAGTGCTTGGACGTGGTGAGGTTGTAGCCCGTGTCGGCAACGTCCGCTGAAAAGACAGCAACGTGCTCGTCGAAAGGCGCGTCCGTCACGCGGATATTCACGACGAGGTCGCAGCCGTTGCCAAACTTGATGCTCTTGATCGCGCCTGGTGCAACAATCGGGTTTGCGTCGATGCACCCCTTTGCCCGTTTGCCGACGCAGAACTCGGGTCCAGCAAAGTTCGTGCGCTCGTAAAAGCACACAGAGCAGGTACCACTCGGCGGCTGCGACTCACTGATCTTGCTCCTGAACTGTTTGTCCCACTTCTTGTCGAGAGACGAGGTGGCTGACACTGACAGCGTCGCGAGGGTCCCGACGGCGAGGAAGAGGGCGAAGCGAAGCATCGTGAATGAAGTACTGCGTTGTGCTGAACTGGTGTGGGGGTTGTTGTTGTTGTTGTTGTTGTTGTTGTTGTTGTTGTTGTTGTTGTTGTTGTTGTTGTTGTTGTTGTTGTTGTTGTTGTTGTTGTTGTCGATATCTGCTGTGGAGATGCGAGCGCAATTGAGTTGTGAGCGTGTTGATTCCAGCACAACGTGGCTGTCAGTTGATCCCTTTACATCCCAGGACCGGCCCAGATTGTCTAGAGCGAGGAAGAGAGAGAAAGAGACACGTTAGTCGGTCGTCGCGAAGCACGACTGGTCACACTGCTTGACGCGACCGACCAAAGCCATGTGGCTGGCAAACACCTGGACCAGCGCAATAGAGTTCACACGATGAAAAGACGCAGCTGTGCAAAACTAAAAAGCGGCAGAGATCGATCTAAAAACAGACCTGCTTGTCCCAGAACCCACTACTGGCTGGACGGTCATCAGCACGTTGTACGCTGCTGCTGCAATATGTCCTTCGCGCACCTTCATGTCTGTTTCGAGCTGTACTCTTCTTTGAGTTTCTCATAGTGCCGGATCTCAGCGGGCGACACAGACGGAACCACATGGGAAAGCGCCGTCATAAAGTGTTCTTGTCCCACGGGCACACGCAGCTCTTCTGGCGACAAGCGGTTGAGGAGGAGACGCATTGTCAAGGGACTGGACGAATAGCAGTCCTTTGCATTGATCTCATCTGCCAAACGTCGCAACAAGCACAAACAAAACACATGCCGTAGCAAAGAGGTTAGCTCCGATTCACACGTGCGCTGCCATTCTTGCGACACGTACCGAGTTGTCGATCCAGAGACTTCACGCGGTCCTTCAGTGCAGCCGCTAGCGCACTCGAGCTAAGTGCGTAAAAATCAGCGCCCGTAAAGTTGGTCGGACAGTGTTCAACGACCGCGTCTAGATCAACGTCCTCTGTCAACAGAAACTTCCTCGTCTGCGCCTTTAGCACTTTCAGCTGCGCTGCTTTCTCGTTGCATATCCCGAGGTACAGTAGCCGGTCGAAGCGACCAGGCCGCAGCAACCCTGTTTCCAGTAAATCTGGGCGATTTGTCGCGCCAATGACAAACACCTGGTCGTTGCCGCCGCCGCTAAGACCATCGATTTCCGTCAGCAACTGCGAGACTACGCGGTCCATGACACCGCCGGAGTCCGACCCGCGCCCACGCATCGGAGCCAGCGAATCCAGCTCATCGAAGAAAAGAATACAAGGACGACAGTTGCGAGCTTTTGTAAAGATTTGCCGCACGTTCTTCTCGCTTTCGCCAATGTACATGTTCAGCAGCTCGGGTCCCTTCACACTAAGGAAGTTGAGATTCGACTCTGTCGCAATCGCCTTGGCCAGCAGTGTTTTGCCCGTTCCTGGAGGCCCGTACAGCAGTATACCGGATCGTTGGCGCAGTCCACTAGCAAAAAGCTCCGGGTGTTTGATCGGTAGCTGCACAACGTCTAGGATCTCATCCTTCACGTCTTCCAGGCCACCGACGTCGGTCCATCTCACATTCGGAATCGATGCGTTGCTGACGTTAGCAGATGCTGCATGTGCCTGCTGGTTTTGCACAGCTTCCTCGATGTCCTTTGCTGAGACAGAACAGCGGTCAGAGGAGAGGTCGCCATAGTCACCAAACACCAGGTCTTCTAAAGATTGCTTGCTTGCGTTCGTCTCGCTCCCAAGCATTCGATCAATCGCAATACTACCGGCATCAGCCAGCATGGCCGAGAGCTCTCCATACGTCCGGCCTGCAGTCACCTGCGCGACTTCATCCAAATCCACGTCCTCATTGAGCTTGATAGAAACTGCCATGTGCTGCAGGAATGCCAGTCGCTCGCGCTGATCCGGTGCCTCAAGATGCATCTCGTACAGAAAACACTGTCGGATGAACTTCGACACTTCAGACACGTCGTCTGCGCACACGATCAATGGAATGCTGTGCTGGCCTTGACTGAGCGAGCGAATGCACTCTGAGAGGACGGCGCCAATGCGCAGCTCAGCTTCTTCATCGCCTTTTTCGACCGGAAAGAGGTGGCGGATATACAGAAGACAAGGAGACACCGCTTGGGCCTTCGACACTTGGTCTCGCACGTTCTCGAGCAGATGAAGCTCTGACTGTCCCGTCAGCTCCGTGAACGGTATCTCGAGTGTAACGACACCCAACTGCTTTGCTACTTCGTGAACGAGAGTCTGCTTGCCAACACCGCGAGCACCGCTCAAAAGCACTGACACAGGGATGTTGCACAATCGGGACGGATACAGCACTTCATACAGCTTTTGCTGAGCAGCTGACGACATCACCGAGTCAACTAACGGCGCCATAGCCCCATGCCGGCTTTGCATCATAAACTGTTTGACAATTGCTTCGTCAGGCAACACTGCCGAGATCGACGACCCTTGCATCAGTTCCGTATCACGGGAGATCGTCAACGCCAAAGCATCGTCCATCTCACCATTCACTTTCTCCACTCGAAAAAACACAAGCGCCGTGTCGAGCTCCAAGATCGGCGGCAGGACTTCAGTCACTGACTCCGCAGCAGCTGCACCGTCTGTCGACACCATACACGCCGCTGGGATGTCGACGCACTTGTAGGGTGCATACTGCGTTCGGCATCGTTCATTCTTCAGCTGGGAGACTCGAGACTCCGTTGTCTCTCGAAGCTCAACGGCGAGCACATCGCCGACTTGCACGACTTGACCCGAGTGAAAGAACGCTCGGACCGCGTCAATGAGTCCGTCGTTCGACTGCTGAAGCAGCGCGTGTGGACGGCACGAGCGACTCGAGTGCGCAAAGGGTGCGATGATTGCCGTGCGAGCTATAGCCGGTTGCTCGTATTGTTTCCGCCGGAACAAAGACGGAGACGGCAGCAGAGGAAGTCCCAGTTCCTGAGCCGACGCCGAAGCGATCGACAACTGCTATACACACGACGTAGGGACGTGAGTTCGAAAGAATGACGATACAGTGTATAGTGAGCGTACACTCAGACGCACACATGTCGAGCCGAAGAAGAAGAAGAAGGACGCACCGAGACGGTGTCGTGACGGTGCAAGTCGAGCCCGAGATTGAACGCCAAGAGCGGCGACAGCAACACGTCGACGTTGTCGTCGTCGTCGGTGATCTGTTCTTGACTTGATTCCAGTATACGCTGCGAAACGAGTTGCAGTCTCGCAATGTGCCGACGCTCGAGCGACTGCAGCGTCACGAACGAGTCGTGAAGGACACGCAGTCGACGCAGCAGCGACACGTCAGACGTCACGACGAGCGTCAGCCCATCGTCTGTAGTGACGAGAGGTCCATTGCGGGCGCTCCACACACGCGCGCGCACCGTGTGGTGCTCTGGGTCGGCCGTCGTCGCGAAGGACGAGAGCCACATGGGACGCGATGCGACTGAAGTGTATCTCCTGCGTGCGCTCAGTTGACAGGGCGTATGTGTGTGTGCGAGTCTAAGGTGAACCACACTAAGTGCGCCGATAGTAGTGTGGTGCACGTACTGAACCCACTGCGCGTGGCTTTGATCGAGAAGCGCTCGACGGCCTCAGTATCAGATCTTCGAGACAGCATGAGCAAACCAGCGGCGGACAAGAAGCCACCGAGCAAACCAGCGGCGGACAAGAAGCCACCGAGCAAACCAGCGGCGGACAAGAAGACGCCGAGCAACGCGGCGGCGGAGAAAGCGCCGATGCTCGTGGTCGTGACGGAAGAGGACGACGAGTTTGAGGAGTTCGAGGACGCCGACTGGAACGGACAGGCGCAAGAGACGGACGCGCACATGAAACAGCAGTGGCAGGACGACTGGGACGTGGACGAAGCCGACGACGACTTTTGCAACCAGTTGCGGAAGGAGCTGCAGAAGCACAAGTAGACGAGATGCGCTCGCACGCACGTGCGTGCGTGCATAGTGACGGCAGACTGCACTCAGTGCGTGAGCGAGTGACTGATGCGCTCGTGGCGAGACGAGTGCATTGCATTGCACTGTTCCACCGTCGCTGATGCGACTGCGCTCGAGTGAGTGCGTCCTCTTCGCGTGCAAAAGACAAGAACGAGAACGACAGGCGTCGACTAGGGAGTAGTAAACAGAGCGTCAAACGAGCAGCTTCTTCAGTCTAGCTGCAGCCACGTCTGCGGTGCTCCATTGCCGCCTTCTTGTCGTCTACAGCAGAAAACGCCCTCCGCTCTCTCTTCTCTCTCTCGCCAACTTGCACCGACCAGCTGATGGTAAACCGACAGGCAGATGCCGTCATCACCGGCGACTCTGCTGGCAAGTGTCTCTTCGTCCACGTGCTCGCTCTCGCTCATTTCTGCTCGTCCTTGAGATGCGCCGGCGCTTCCGGCTCAAACAGCGCGTCGCGCTTCCACTCGGGCACGTACTGCTTGAACTGCGCGGCCTCCCACTCGTCGCTCGTGTCGAAAAAGTCCTCGGGCTTGACGTCCACAAGGTCGGGACTGCGCGGACGTCGCGCTTCCTTCGCGGCCTTTGCCGCTTGTTCGGCTTTGGCTTTTGCAAGCGGATTCAGCAGCAGCTGCGCCTGCTCGAGCGGCACGCGCGTGTTCATGAGCTTATCGATGGGGTCCCGCACTTTGAACGTCTGGAACCGGAGGACGGGGAAACTGTTCTTGAGCTTCGCTTCCACTTCGTTCAGCACTGCGGGTGACGTGTTGAACTGCTGCACAATGAGTTTGCCCTCGTAGTGGCGCTGCAGTGCGCCCCATCGACGGTCTTCAATGCCGTAGCCCAACCGCTTCTCGCCGCGGTTTTCCGTGGACCGGATCACGCCGCCCTGGGACGTCACGAGCGCCGCGCAGTCCTGGAACACGCGCGCCACGTCTTTCGGCGGCGCCTTGAGGTTCGTCAGGAGCACCTGCTTGTACAGCGGCATCTCGAGTGAGGCTCTCTCTCTATATATATATAAATGTGGGGGTGGGTCGATGGGTCGGTGGGTCGGTATGTTGTAGCACGAGTGTGTCTGTGTGTCTGGGGCGCCAGTCAGTGGCTGCGCTGGCGCTAGTTGGGTGTGGCACACCACTCACATGCGGTGGGCAAATCGACTCGTTGTTGTTTGACAGTGTGGACGGCCGATGGAAAGTGGGTACACAGTTAGTCGACGCGGAAGGCTGAAGCGATGTGGTCCAAGTGCGGATCGACGGACGACACCTTCGCTTCTGCGCACAGAAGTGCACCGACTAACTCTGGTCGTTCCCGTGTACCTCCTGCGACGCTGACGAGTTAGCGCCAATGGGTTCGGTGCAAATGGTTGAGATACACAGACGCCACAGTCAAGTGGCTCCCATCTGCGCTGTCGACTTTCGTGCGCGCGGCTCGAAGGGAACCATACGGCCGACATCGCTCAACTTGCACGTGCTGTTGTGTTGCTTGTGGAGTTGCAGTCGGTGTTAGCTGACGTCAGGACAGCAGTGGGCTCAGCGCTCATCATCTACGGCAATGACGAATGCTAGCACAAGCGACCTGACTCCCTGACTTGGCCCTCGTCGCCTGCATAGTACGGGCTGTGCTCCTCGAGCGCGTTCTCATGGCCAGAACTGCTGCTTGCAATGTACAATCCATGTGCATCTCGAGCGCGTGTGCATCGCACGTCTGCTTCGTCGCAAGATTGTGCCACTTCATCAGAGTCGACGGCATGAATGCGGTGGCGGAACAGCAGCTCGATGACAACGTCTGTTTGCGTATCGACTTGTGGCACCGACGATCCATGAGAGACGTCCTCTGGACTTCCGCAGATGATCCGCTCGTTGCTGTCCGTATTTGTCGTCACGACTTCGTTCGCAATAATGTGGTCAGACATCATCACATCATCTCTGCCAGCGCACTTTGGCCACGCAGTCGTAACGCCAGTGTCGTCATGCATTCATGCGGCGGTTGTGACGCACTGAACGTCTTTGCGCTTCATGACGCGAGCGCACATTCTTGAGCGATCGCACTTCACATGGCTTTCCATGTCATCGCTTGCATCACCTATCGTCAAAGTTAGCTCTTCGTAGCAGCACGCAATTTGTTTTGCTGCGACTATTGCTTCGCCACGTGGCCGTTTCCAGTATCTCTGCAACTGCCACAATGCCCGCCACGCGCAACAACTCCGATGCCATGTTCCACAATCGACAGTCGCACATACATGGCAGCTACTCCGACCCGTCAGCTTAGCTTGCCGTAACGCTCGTCGAGATCTCAGCTACCTTCTCGATCTACTTCTTCCTTGACTCCGTCTTCCACTTCGACTTCTGCTGCAACATCCCTCCCTCTGCTTCGACCTCGATCTACTCGACCTCCTTCTTCGCTGCGTCTCTACTCGAAGCCCTCGTCCACCAATCTCACGTCCACACCTCTCTCTGCATCGAGAGCGCGATCTCTCGCGACGTCGCTCTCGCTCTCTCGCTCGCTGACGTCTCCGATCTCCTCCTCCGCTGCTCCTGCTCCGCCACCGACCACCTCTACACTCCCGTTCGTCCACTTCTTCTCCAGACTCTCTTGACGTCCAGCATCCCCGTCGTCGCTCCCTGTCTGCACTTCTTCGAGCGCTGTCTCCGCTCTCGATCTGCTCCTGCTGCTCCTCCTCCTTCTTCTTCTTTACCCCCGCCATCTGCACGCGCACCGTCTTGCCCAGAATCTCCACGTCCTCCTGCGCACTCGCTTCGACCGCTCGCTTGGCGTCGTCTGGACGTGCGAAGTGCACGAACGCAAAGCCTGGCGGCTACAACAGACGACCCGTTCGTTAGCACGACGCGCACGCCACCAGCAATCGCACCTCCCAGCAGCTCTGTCGCCTCAAGACACGTCTCAACGTACGCAGCGTGCGATCCAGACGCTGTGGATCGTGCCAAAGCGCGCGAACTTGTGCGTGAGGTCGACGGCCTTTGCCCGCGGCAGCAGATTCCCCACGTACACGCGACTCGCAGCTTCGTCCGCGACGGTCTCCATGACTCGTACTTACGAACACACGTCCAGAACGACGTCAGCGTCACTAACGCCAGGGACACACACGCGTTGACACTGGGCGGTCCATCATAAGTACGATTGCGTCCACTATGGCGGACGCAATGAAGAAGGACGCAGACGCGCTGGACCGCGTGCTCTTCCGCCTGGCGAGCGTCGATGACGAGCGCATGCTGCAAGTGCTGCAGTCTCTGCTGCCGCAGCTTCTGGCGCTTTACCCGCGCTCGACTGCGACGCCGCTCGAGCAGCAGCTGAAGGAGAAGGTGCCGTCGTGCCGTCGTTGCCACCGAAAGCGTTGAGCTGAGCTTGAAGAGAGACACGTCGTATGTGGTTCCGTGCTACAGGTGCTACGAGCTGTGGCCCACATCAAGACGCGTCTGGGCGCACTGACGCGCCCTGCGCTGCCGCTTGACGCGCTGTGCCAGATACTGCAGCAGTCGGAGCTCTCGGTCGTGTCCCAGAACCTCGCGCTTCTCTTCCTTGGTGCGGTACTCCTGACTTTATTGCTGTGCTTTTCCATGGGTCTCCACGCTTTGTGGTTGCTGGTGGTTGTATAAGATGAGCAGTAGTAGTAGCAGTAGTAGTAGCAGTAGTAGTAGCAGTAGCTATCTCCTTCTTCTTCTTCTTCTTCTTCTTGCTGCTGCTATGATGGCTTGAAGTAATAGTGGTCGTTGTCGTAGTTTTTTGCATGCTGCTTGTCTGCGTGTTTCGTGTCTTCATTCTAATCGTTTTGTAACTGATGTGACGATTTGTACTAACGCACACTCACATGTTTACTGATCTACACTCATGTGGCTCTCGATGGTTTCTACAGAGATGGGATTTGATGCGGCGTCGACCGAGCAACAGACGAGAGTGCTGGCAGCTGTTGTCAAGATCGTCTCGAGACTTTCAGCTTCTCAGCAGGAGGCTTTGTTCCGGTTGTTTGTGCGTGCCTTGCCTGTCACAGCCTCTGTGGTTTTCCCCAGCACAGAAGCAACAGCTGGAAGCCAAAGAGAGCAACAAGAAGAGGAGACGACGTCAAAAAGCGACGTGACTGACCACGTCAACGAGAGAACCGACGCCAATGTCAATGTGATGCTGGACTTCATTCTCGATCTCGTACTGTATGAACTGCCGTACTCGACGAGTACAAACGGGACGACGGTATTTGGGTTAACGACGCCGCGATTCGCGCGATTGCAACGAGTCAAGATATCGCAATTTGATCGTGAGGTTTTGTACAAAGCTCAATTTGACGCTTTGAAGTTTGTCAAGGAGATGACGGTCCCTACACGATGTAAACTTCCAGTTTATGTTGCCGGCAGCGCTTCTTTCCACCACGCAGTGAAAGACTTTAGTAACGAGCAACTGTCCCGAGTGATCAAATTCGAGGAGAAAGAGTTGGAGGATGCTGACGCCGTGCGGCATCTGATGGCGTTGGTACTCGGCAGTCAAGTGGCTCAATCCTCTCGAACGATGGAGGCTGCAGATACAATCATGCTGACCGACCGAACGCGTCTGGCTGACGCAAGTATTTTGCAAACGCTGACACTGCTTTTGGCTTCAACAACAGCAACAAATGTGCAACCTCAGATGCTGCAACTGTTGTGCCACTTAATGTTTGGCACAGAACCGACACGACCTGTTGGCGTGGCAAGCAAGATCAAGCTAGCGAGTGTGCAGTTATGCCAGCGGACATTTCACCGCTGCCAGTTATCGTTGCTTGAGGGCTTGCTTGGTCCTGTGTTGTATCCATCCTTGCTACGTTTGCTCATGAACACTGATCTCGAGGCGTCCGACGCGGGTTGTCTGCTTGAGTTCCGCCAGGGTGTTTACGAATCGATGTCGGTACTTGCAAGCCGTGCTCCCGCAGTGGTCGCAACATCTGAACAGGCTTTTCAGGTATTACTTGTTCGTTGCTTTGTCGAAGAAGAGCATCGAACAGGTGCGGGACCGCATGCTCTGAAGGCATTCACTTCTTTAGCTGGCGCCTACACGGTGGGCGCCACCCGTGAAGTACAGGTTAAAGTGATTCAGGAGCTTGTTGCAGTGCTAAAGAGCTCCAAGCTGTATGACTCCAGCAAGGACTATGTACGCGTAAGACGTGCTATCGCCGCTTGGTGCGCTGAACTGTTGAGCGCTTCCGTTCCGGAACAATATGACGTCACTTTGCGGTTCGCCGTCTTGCGACTGGAAGCGTTTCATGATGAAGAGACTAGGCGCTTCATCAACAAAGCTTTGTTCTCCGAACCGTTACCATCCGCAGCTGCACTCGTGCAAACACTCCAGTCGACTTTCACGCAGAAAGACCTCAAGATGAGCATTCATGACCTTGGAGCTGAGAGTTGTGTCCGATTTTGCGTCGAAGTTCTGAGAATCTACCAAGACAGCAGCTCCCAGGACGAGCGGAACTGTGTTGTGGAGTACATCACACACACGCTTTTCGGGCAATCCGAGCAGAGCGATTCTACTGACATCCGATCGAGATCGGTGTTTGAAACAGCAGCAACTGCACTCATGGACTTGTGCAAATTTGATGCAGAAAGTGTGAGTGCTGTACTAGTTTGCCGTGTTAAGGAACTGTTCGACGTTGGGGTCGTCAGCCAAGATCGCATCTTTCTATCAAACATAGCTGCGATTGTGATGTACACTATCAGGGCTGGAGCGCTCACGGTCAGCCAGATTGTGTCAGACTTTATCGTAGCTGGCATGGACAGGCTGGATTCGTGCAGCGTTGTGGAAAAGCAACTGCCTGGAGTAGTTTACATCCTTGGTAGCGTGCTAAGCTCCGTTGATTATGACTCCGTGGTGGATGCTGCTTCGGAGGACGAGCTGCTGCAAATGTTGTTGTGCTTTCGAAAGATGGGTGATCTTCTTCATTGCAAGGTACAAGAAGGCTCGATATTTGCGCTGCATCCGATAAGTGAAGTTGCTCAAAATGAGCAGATGTTGAGAAGCTTGATGGATGGAATCGGTCTCAGTGGGACGCTGAAGAGTTTCATGCGGAGCTCTGTGGGTGCTGAGTGGGGTTTGCTAAAGGCCAGAGCGCTTCAAGATCTGAGTAGAGTCGTCGGGTGGAAGTTGAACGGCGTTCATTCGGATGACCGGCTGGGCCTGAAGTTAGTGGCTGTGAAGAAGATCTCAATCGAGAATCTTGGCCGGAGCGTGTCAGGTCTGCCCAATATACAGTGTGCTGATCTACTAAGTGGTGTTCGCGACGCCTTAGATGCTCTTTTCGATCTTGACGTGGAGACCGATGTCGAGCTGCAGTTTCACGTAGGAGAAGCACTTGTGGCACTTGGAACCCATGATGTCGAAGAGGATTTTGCGGTCGGTCATCAGGCAAAATGCGCTGTTGTTGCAGCGAATCGTGCTGTCGCGATTTTCGAGCGAGTAGTTGCTGACTATGCCGAGTCCCGACAGCCCAAAAAACGTCGTATTGCCGCTGTATGGCTTCTGTGTATGTGCGCAGCAGGTCTGACAACATCTTCGCGTAAGGATGAAAGCACGGTCGTTTATGCTACATCGTGGGCGGGTGTGTTTCGATCTCCTGCCTACTCACACTCCATTCTTAGCGTGCACGAGTTTTTCGTGACGATGCTGAACGACGCGAGCGAAGTGTCGAAAGAGTGCGCAGTAAAAGGACTAGCTTACCTGCGACTACACTCGCCAACGGACGAAATGGGAGCGCAGTTTAGCGAGAGCTTATTCCGGCGATTACGATGCTTCCGGGCGTTTGTGAGTACCAGTGACGCTGTTGACGCCGCTGAAAGCGGTGGACAAGTCGCCAATCACGAAGGAGTTGGGGACAGGTCAACAGCTGCTATACCTCCGTCCTCGTCAAGTTCTGTAATTGAAAATGCAGCGTACCGAGAGGTCAGCAACGTTGCAGCAGACGTCGGCGATCCGGAGCTAATGTACGCGCTTTTGTACTTGAGCACCAACGATCCAATTTGGGAGTCGCTGGCAATATCGAGCGCATCAAGACCGGTGATGAGATCTGATGTGTTTTCTTTTGTCACTACTGACAAGAAACTTCGTGCGTCAATCGTTGAGAAAGCTGGTACTCAGTGGATGGTAGAAGATCACTCTAGCAAAACGAAGCTCGCTCCGTGGTTGTATCTGCTGAAATTCCATCCACATAGCAAAGTAGCAGCGGTCATGAACAACTTGTGGGAATGTGCAATGGGAAACTCTGCAAGCATTGCAACGGCGAAGGGCGAAAAGACGCTGATACGACAGCGTTGGGCTCTTTTCTTTTGCTTTGCATTGGGTCGACTTGAAAACGATCGGAACTTTAAGTATCGCGTAGCCGCTTGTCTTGCTCTTGTTGATTTGCTAAATGGAGCCGAAGCCGACAATGTAAGCGATAACTTCTTACGATTGTGGGTTTGCGCATCACGAGCGGTAGACGATGTCGTGGAGGCAGTCGCCCTTGCAGGTGTGAAGCTTTATCGATACTTGGGTGAGATGAGTTTGCGCATTGCAGTGAGTGATGCAGCGTGCAGTTCGCTGCTCGTCAAGTTCTTGGTTGAGGACGGAATTGTGAGCAAAAACAGTGTTTGCCGCGCGTTGAGCATCGACGTATTGATACGCCTGGTGAAGACACTGAAGGCGTGCGACATTCAGGACCGCCTAGCACCGCTCTTGCTGAAATTGTTGGAATATTTGTCGTCACTAGAGATGCCAGAGCTGCAGTACGCTCAATTTCACGTAGAAAAGAAAGACCAACTGGAGCGTTTGCGCGTTTCGATCAGCCAGGCAGGACCTGTTGGCCAACTCCTGGACTTGGCAACAGTGCGGCTGAAGGAGCTCGCTGGAAGTACTGGTTGTGTCACTGTCGTCGACGAACTCGCTCGTGGTGTGGCGAACCTGTTGAAGTTCGGTGTCGGGCTTAACACGCGCGTGGGTACTGCCAATTTTGTCATCACACTTGCGGGCGAGCTTCCCTTTGAGCTCCGCAAGTGTAACGGAGCCGAATTGTTGTTGCGCCGCGTTCTGATTCCGTATGTGGGCATGAAGACAGCAGCCGAGAATGATCAGTACGGGGACGAGGAGAGTCGATACGGTGGAACAAGCAGTAGTGCCTCCATGGAAGAAGAGGACTCGAGTCTGGCCGCGACATCGGGGTTGGCCGATGGACTAGTTATTCAGAGCTACTGCCGAGCTGCTGCATACTTATGCCCGCTAGTCGATACTGGTACAGTTCGTGATTATGTCCGGCGTGGTATCTTTGCTTGCAGCACATCAAGCGAGTCGGGCAGTAAGACTTCCAGATCTTCTGGTTTCGAGACTCGCAGCGATGTAGAAATGGAAGACTGTGGTGAGACAGAGGGCGCGCAACTGAAGTCCCATCAGGTGTTTACTAGCCGATTTTTGCTGATCAGTGCTCTAGCAATGAAGGAGCTCGTGAAGAAGGTGCCACCGATCGCAGACGTAGACACCGTGGTGATCAACGACATGCGTAATACTTGGTATTGCACGCACGCCTTCCCAGCTGCTTTTATCGGCCAGTTTGCTGCAGCGGACGCCTTGAAGAGCTCGTGGAAGGGTGTGTTAGACGAGCTACCGCCTACGGTGCTTTACTCATTACGGTCACTGGATGCTGCACTGCAAGCCATTGCGCTGCTACTGGCACATCCTGCCTGGGACACGCGACGACAAGCTGCTCGGGCTTTGCAGGCGATTTTTGCGAGTGCCACGCACCGTTCCAAACTGTCTGTCGAGCAAATCGACCGCATCTGGCGTGGGCTGCTTGACGCTGTGCCAGGCCGTCTTTGGACAGGCAAGGGCGTCATTTTAGAGTCCATCATCTCGCTGGCGGCCGTAAAGATGGCGAACAAGGCTACCGACGTTGACAGCAAATGGACTGAAAAGCTGTCGCTGCTTCTTATTGAGGAATGTGCTCGCGCGTGGAAGAACCAGGACTTGGCGTATCTTGAGAGTGGAATTGTAAATCTCGGGAAGTTTTCTGCGTTGCTGCCGCCTGAACAAAGCGATTTGCGTCATTCGAATGTGCGTTCTCTGAGAAGTATGTTTGCCGGGTGGATGACCGGGCACGAGATGGAGTCATCCGAGTCTTCCTCGCTGTCGTTCCCGCCAATGCTTATCAAGTGCGTGTTCGAAGCGCTTTCGCTGATGTGGCCTTCCTTGACAGCAGCTCAAAGAACAGCGAGTACCGGGGATGCCGAGACAAGTATCGAAACCATGCTGTGGCTTTGCGCAAACGTGGAATCACCGCATTTGGCCGCGTGGAGTGTCCGCAAAGCCATTTTCCAGACTTTGGCTGTAGTTGCGGAGCGTGCACCTCTTGAGGCACTTGCTGGTAGCAATGGTGTTGTCGAGCGCATCGTCGATAACTGCTGTGGGCCGTTTGGTGTGGCTGATGGGAAGTACTCGATGGTTCGTGTTGCCGCCGCTGGAGCTCTTGTGGCGCTGCTAAAGCGCGCAGCGGGTACTCCGGATTTGGCGTTGAGACTCGTCGTCCAGCGAGAGCGGGTGTCGACAGCTGTGCAGACCTTGTTGGCTAGTGAAGAAGCGTCGGAGCAACAGGCAGCTTATAGCCTGAAGTCGCAAGTATTGCTAATGCCTTGATACAGACAGTGTCTTGGCCGAATAAACTACGGAGGTCTCGGTGACGACATACGTGTCCGTCCTACACACATGCACTTTGACGGGTTGCCATCGATTGTCAATTGCTTAGTTCGTCCGAGTTATATTGCAAGTCTCACAACGTCATCATCTTCTGCGCAAGTTCTCGTCGCGTTGATCGTAGGTATATATGGTAAGTTCGCAATGAGCACATGCAAAGTGTAAGCAGTTTACACCACACGCCTACTAACGACTCTCTTCTTGATCAAAGTAGAAGACTTTTGTTTCCTGCAGGTACGCACAAGGGACTTGGCGATCGTAAGAGCCATCGGGCTTTCTAGTGTCAAGTGACCGCGTGGCGTCTTCCTGACGTCCCTTATGTCATGTAGACTTGTCGGAAACTTGTCATGAACTGCAAGTGTAGTCAGGACGACGGCCAGCAGGTTTCTCGAGCTGATGACAACCGTGCCCGGTATCCGAGAGAGACGAACATTGCCTTCGTCGGAATTGGTATGGTTGATGGTCCATTGAGCAGCACAGCAATGTCAATTCTTTGCTCGTGTGCGCTTGATGCACTCTTCCAGCTGATGTCGAATTGTCTCACACGATGGGGTAGGAGTCACACTGACACGCACTCGTCCGACGTTCCGATGTGATGACCAAGAGGCGATGAGCAAGTCCACAACGACAGTACCCACGGACGTTCACTCGACCTCGAAGACGCTCGGTCGTGGTTTTCATCCCAATCGTCAAGATCAATCCTTCTGCTCCATGTGGAGCAAGTGTCAAGGCTTCCACCATCTATCGACTCGTCCCGTTCACAGCTAGTGTCGGATCAAATGATCTTCGAATTGTTTGAGACCGTTGAGCTTGACGACCTCGACCACATTTATCCATCAAACAGGTCAACGACTGCGAGCTTCTCGGTTGATGGAAAGCTTTCGCTGTATCGAGTACTCAAAGTAGGTGTCTCGACATCAGAAGCTCAACTCGTTGATGTCCGTCCGTGACACGGGAATTCGATCTGCACAAACAGCAGCCAACGCTGTTCGAAAGCGGCGAGTTCTACGAGTTGCGCTATGTGCCAACCACTGGTGCCAACGACAACAAATGATCTGCACGATGCCGTGTGTATTTTTGCCGATCTACTGGTAATCTATGGAGGTGTCGAGATATTCGAGACGATGACTGCCCGCCGTCCATGAGAGACGACGACGTGCCACATATCAAGTTGGCGGCTGTGGAGCGCGCGATTGATTCATGACAGACGCGCAACACTTTGTGACAAAGTGTTGAGCGCTCTTCCAAGTACCTCAACTAGCCGAGATAGACATGAAGTACCTCAACCAGCCGAGATAGATACACATGGATGGAGCAGGTTCTGGCATTTGCTGCTTTCAAAACAGAGCAATCCCCAACAGAGCGACCGAATCTCTATCACTCTGGCTGTGTTGCACTCATTGAGCCATGTAGACGTACTCTGGCCGACCGAAGGTATAGGCACTTAGTGTCGACGCTACGTTCTCGAGTTGTGCACTGCGTATCTCGAAACGGTTATTACACTTCTGCAGCAAGCAGCCCAGACTCCGGTCAACGCACTTGCCATAATGGCTCACTCGATGATGAAGACAACCAACACTGGCACCGCGATGGAGTGCCAGTACAGTCTCACACTGGACACGACTGCCACGAAGCCCATTGTGAAGATAGCGACCACAATTGCACACATAGCACACAGTCGCGTTCCACCCTCGGGGCAAACTTCCAAGCTCCAAGGACTGAATCCAACCACAACTGAGCTGTCGATCGTCAGCATCCGATTGCAACGGACCAAACAACGATCCGTCGAGAGTCCACACATACGCACTCGCAAATATAGTCGGTATCTGCGTCAAACATCTATTCCAACTTGGCCTTCTTTGCTTTGTCCACATATGGGAAGCGAGAGTAGATGACCATGCTCGTGGCAACAAGACCAGCTGCGATGAACACTTCCTTCGGCAGCACTGCATCGTACGCATAACTCTCGACGAATGCCGTAAAGGCGATACCGCCAATCAGTGCAAATGACTTGAGCACACCGCCGAGGTGTTTCGTGACGGTGCCAACGAGCAACCCGCCAAGAGCGTTGCTCACCACTGGAATGAGTGTATAGTAGTCGCATCCCTCAAAGATCGGGTCAATGTGAGTCCACCACGTAGTACGAGCTGCCGCTAAGTCGGTCCCAGGCATCTTGACAAGCATCGACCAAGTAGCCGGCAGCACTACTAGAAACAAACTGCCGTAGACCGAGAGCTCGATCGTCACAAGCGCAGCATCACGTTTGTGGTGCTGCATGGCACGCTGCGTGAGCGTCGACCCGAGGCCCGAGAGCAGCGAAGCGAGAAGCACCGACACCAGTCCGAGTTGCAACGACGTGGCCGACAGAGCAGACACGTCTGGAGTAGTGTTTTTATTGCTGCTGCTGCTGTTGCTGGTGTCTTGGGCAAGGGACAGGAGCACAGCAGCGCTCAGTAGCAGCAGCATTGCACTGCATTGCGGCATGGAGAAGCGTTGGCCCATAAGAAGGTAGAGAAAGAGAGCTGCCGACAGCAGTTTGGTCTGGTTCATCAAGTTCGCGACAATAGATGGCAGGTGCTGGTACGCGACTTGCATCAGTACATTCTGCACGGCGTACGTGCACGCAGGCAACCCCGAAATCACGAGACTGTCTCGTAACCTCCACGTCGTCACAACGCGGCCGATGGTGCCCGATGACACGAGAACGAGCAGTGCCAAGAGCAGCTTAAACGCCTCGCAACCCACGACTAAGACCGTGCGGTTCGTGGCTTGACGAGCAAACTCCTTGTACAGAATGGGCTGGAGACCAAACTGGACCGAAAGCAGAACCATAGCAACGTATCCGATACATCTACTGGACGTTGTCTTGCCAGTGGTTGCAGCTGCCACAGATGCCGATGGTGGACGTGGTGCCTTGATGGCAGCCGCCATGTACTCGTCAAAGAACGCGAAGGGTACTGTATGCGAAAATGACTGGACGAGAGGCGAGCGGTACAGTATCCGCTAAATCGACGTGCGTGGGACTCGATGTTCCGTGGAGTAGTAGTACCTTTTTCTAAAAAATATTATGTCCATTTTCTATGGGGATGGGCCAGCCCAACATTGTTTCTCAAACCTGTTGTAAACATGTACACTCTCCTGTGGGATCAGTGCAACTGCGCAAGAGACCGAATGTGTCTGAACAAACGCGTAGGCGTTCACATTGAGAAAGAGAAAACACGTCGGCGCTTTGGCAAAGTATGACGATAACTGAGACGCTTCGTTCGGTGTGATCTACAGCGAAGATGCGACGCCATACACTGAATCGACTCGCGCGTGACGTCAAGAGCTGCTTTTTGCGTGACCACATCTCTTGCGGCCCATGTTTTGCGATGTGCGCGGGCAGAGCGGTACATGGAGAAGTGCGATGCCCAGCAAGTGCATACGTGGCAACTTGCTCGACCAATGGCGTGAATTGGGTCGCTCGATGAGCTCAGACAACGCAAGTCGAAAGAAGGCACGAACAAATGTAGCACACAGTCACAGCAGCACCACTGAAAGCTCCAGTTGGGCTGCTGCGTGCGAAGATCGCCCCACGCCTTTGACGAGCTTTTCCTTTTCGAGCAACTACACGAAGATCGATGGCATGCACAAGTGGGACCTCGACGTGCATTCGGTGGTCGACGGACGAGGATGTTCGATCTAATGTACGCTCCTGACCTCGCGACGGGGATTGCGTGACTACTTTATTTGACGTTGGCCACAACATCAGATGCATGCAGCCAGGATCATGATCCTGTGTTGACATGCAGAGCCGGACGGCGCGTACGGAAGGACCGAGTGCAAAGTGACCCGCGACTTGGCCGTATCTTGCGTTTTGATCGGAGGACGAGCAGAACGGAGGCGTCGCCAGAGTCACATGTCGAGCATGCAACACAACGCGTAGTGAGATGCTGGCCGCGCATACAGTACACCGTTGCTATGGAGCACTTTTTCGACCATCAGACCTCTCTTGCGAGTCGTTCAGTAGTGTGTCAATGAAAGCGCAGACGCTGTTGTGTTTTGTAATAGCTGAAGCTCGTGTGAATGCAGCAAAGGACACACTCGACTATGCTGTCCCCGGCTTTCACAATGGAGGAGAGTCACGCACGACATGTGCGAGCTCCAATCAACACAAGCGTTGGTCGTTGCCGCTCCCTTGCAAACAAAAGCGCGTGTCGATATCACGTTACCATTCGTCGTTCGTGCCACACAAACAACGGGATCAACAAACGACATTGGACTTACACGTTTTGCTATTCTACGCTCCTTAGCAGTCAGTACGGGACGTGGTAACTGGTTCAGTGCGGCGGCAGCGCTGGTCTCCGTATCCGCTTCCAGTCTGAGATAGCATCACATTCACTTGTTAGTGTTGCGCGCGAAGGCGACGCCCTCCGACCCTCCATAGCTCACCAATCCCCGATTTCTTCGCAGCCGACCGAGCCTTGTCCCGGAAGCTGGAAGTGAGCGTTCCAGTCAGCTCATCGAGCCATGGCGTGTCGAAGTAATAGTAGCGCCCCGGGTTGCCATGTGGATAGATACGTCCATGGCCACCTCCATGGCCACCTCCATGGCCACCTCCATGACCACCGCCTCCTGCACGTTCTTCTCCCTGTGGGATGTCGTCAGGTTCCACCGTGCCCGCAGAATACTGCCGCTCAGAGCTGGTCGTGCTCACACTGATTGCAGCTAGCGTCGCCACTAGGAAAAGCACGAGAGCGGTCGGGCGCATGGCTTTGACGGGCGTGCCAGAGTCGAACGCGGTTCCGCAATGGCTGAATAAATGAAAAGTGACGACGTGAAGGAGCGTGCGGCTGCCGGATGGCTTCCAAGCCAAGTCAGTGTCGAACCCACATGCACGGACCAGGTTTCCTCACCCAGCACCACGCAGCTCGACCGATCCCATCCGCTATGGGCTTTCTTCTCTCGGTCGTGTCGACAGCCCAAACGCAGACGTAAACCGCGATAGCAAGAGAAGAAAACAAGCCGTATGTTCCCATTACGGTTTACAACATTGCTTGCTGAAAAGTCTCTAGCCACTGCAGCACCCCCGCCGGTGGTGGTGCAAGTCTCCTTCCAGCGTTATGCCGAGCGAACTCAGGCCGCTGAGGAATCGGGTCTCAAACATATCTGTCGCAATCGACGTCAACAAGATGCTATCGTCCCCGTTCTGGCCGAATCGGCGATGTCCGACCGCAACAGCTTCAACTTGACAAAGGAGTGTTTGGCGCAGGTCCGATTTCGCTCGGTGGGCGAAGCAGACTGAACAGGCCATTTACCAGCTCCGTTTCCAAGGCCTATCCATAGACCCCGCCGTATCAGGATATATGCGGCGGATCTCCGCTCGTACGCTCGGCCGTAGATCTGGAGCTGTTCTGGATAACACAGCTGGTTTGTGCTTGTGCAATATTGAGCAGTCGTACCGGCCGACCGGGTCCAATGAGCCACTATACACGCCCAGCACTTGGCTGCCTTCTCGCATTCTCAGTTCCAGAGAATGTGAATGAGCCCTTCGTGCTGACCACTGCAAGCCGCATGGCGTGTGCCCGTTGAGTCTGGATCTCGACCGAAAAAAAGGACAGATTTGACTGATGGGCAGCAACGCGATAGCAGACGCACACCTGGGAATTCGTCAAGAGACGTCTGTGAGCCCGGAGCTGTGGCAGTGTCTGCTTCATCGGGAATCCCGCCCCGTCTATCGCATTCACACGAGTCCTAAGTCGCATGATCACCTCCGTCAGCGCTGGATACAAATGCCGTTTTGCTCGCAGAAAAATTGACGCTGTAACGCCTGCATGCGGGTGCATGTCATTGACGGTTGGTTAAGTGCACCAGGGAAACCTATGCAGTCTTCGATGTGGTGGGGTGTTCGCGTCTGCTGCTGTAAAGCGTACCGACTCGGACTCGATGACCGGAACAACCCCTTACACTCGGTGTATGACATAATGTGTGCCGTTATAGTGCGAGTGAGAAGGTGAGGTATATTTAGGTAGGCGAACGACCTGCTATATCCTGTCACCCGGCAACAAGGTTACCGGGGTGAGCGCTACTTTATATACTAGGTAGCACTAGATCGCGTACAGCAGAACGCCTACGCGCAGTCGCCGGTGTCGAGATGATCAGGTTCCTCGGTGTTAGTACGGGATTCTGTATGATGCAATGGTCGGCCCGAGAGGTCTCCAACCAATGACTGACATCAGAATCGAGGAAGCCCGTAACCTCCTGGACCAGGCCTGTGTTAGAAGCATCGTGCGCTTGAACTGAGACTCCTGTGTCCATAGCGATAGTCGCCAGTCGATCCGCCATTTTGTCGTAGCTGCGATAATGATGTCCCAGCTGGAGACATCGATGCCGTTTGCGATGGCGCTTGCTTCGTTGAATAACCGCACCAAGTGCAGCTTGCGTGGAGGGTGTCGTGTTCGGAGTTGCGAGAACACAATCGCACTGTCCCCAATGACATGCAGGGGTGAGTGGTCGTTTATCTTCGCGTGCCGAAGCCCGTGGATGAGCCACAGTGTTCAGCGAAATTGTTAGTGGTATCGGTAGAGCCACAGGACATGCTCGATACCCACAAAACGCATGCGGTGTGCGTCGGGAAGTGGAGTCGGACAATAATAGATCCAGCTCCGCCTTGACCTGGATTTCCGCGGGATCCGTTATAGGCAAAGAGAAGGTATAGCACTCCTGGACACCGTTCTATAGGCCGTACTTGCAACAGAGGAGGTTCGTCGTAGCTGATAATGGTATCAGCCAACGCCGATCGTACCTGCGCAAATAGTTGCGCGTCCTCCCCCATGTCGAGCTGGTAGGTTGATCCACGTAACCTTCGATCCGACTGGCGAAAGATAGTCGTGGCACTAGCTGTGTGCACCTCCTGTGATAAACACGAGACTTCCATGCGGCGGAGGCGCCCGAGCCTGATGGCATGAAGTGTCGTTGATACGACAAACCGCCACAGCTCTCGAGCTGCCGGGAAGACCACAGCCTGATTACTGTGATTTATCTCGCGAAACCGATCTCGACACTCGAAAATGTATTACGGGATTTGTATGTTGCCTAGCTGGAGGAGCGATATCATGGGCATCTCGTTGTCAGACCATAGTAGCTCGATCGACCGTGGAGGCAGAGTATGTTGCCGCATGTGATGGATGTAGGACAGCCAGGGAAACGCAATACTTTGATTCAAATATTGCCTAGAGGCAAGTTTTTTTACGTACGGGATACGGCAATTAAGCCGCCTACATAATGGCAGCAAACTCTCCGTGCAGTTATACGACAAGAAGACCCATTGAAATTTGCTGGCATTGCGTAAGGGACCAAGTGGCAAAGAAAACGGTGACTTTGTGGAAAGTATGAACTAATGACAATCCATCCGACCTACTGACGAAAACACTTCCGCGAGAGAAGCTTAAGGCGGTGAGTTGTCGGATTGGACTAACTAAGCAGTAATTTGCCAAAGTAACGTACTAACTTTGGAGGAGTGCGTGCTGGAAACCGCAGCAGTTGGGGATGAAGAAGGTTGAAGTCGTCGAGAAGTGGATGCCAAACGATGCGAAACGACAAGACGTGTATCTAGAAAGAAGGAGCGTTACGACAAGACATATATTTTACAAAGAACAGAACACGACAAGATGGAGGGCCAATTTTCTACAAGTAGTTTTTCCTTCAGTTCCACATTAACCTTAACGTCAACAAGTTGTGTGTGAGAATGTTTATTGCTGTGCGGGTGTCATTACTTCCTGCGCCCCGTTGGTGTCGTGTGTTGCCACAGAAATGGACTAAAGATTCCCTATCTCTTCTACCGTCTATTTGGCAGGTCAAAGACCGTGGCCATGAATAGAATCCCGGCGAGCATGATGACGTTCTTATATCGTCATTCATAACGCCGCACTGGTAGCAATCGGAGTGGCCGTTGCAAGGCGCCGCCTCACATTTCGTATCCTGACAGCCCAACTGGCGTCAATCAGCGAACCAGTACATATCTGCTGTCCGACGTAGCGGGTCGGTTCCCCCAGTTCCCCCGGTGATCGTTCAGATCATTGTCGAGATCAAGTCAGCGAGAACATAGAGCCAGGTGGCGTGCGCAGATGGCGTTGATCCTTCAAGATTCCCTCTTCGCACGAACGAAAGCCAATACATTCGCAACTCCTGGCCGCATTCTAATCACATTCGACGTTGTGACCGGCGGCGCTCGTGCCATGGGAAGCCGTGATGTTGTTATTGAGACCAGAATCACGTTCGGCCTCGCATGATGACGACGCCAGAATGCCGACCGACACTTCGGCGTCCTTCAGTAGACTACAATCGTCACCTCGACGCTGTAAATGCCGCCAAAGCCACAGGTGTCTTTTCCATCGCCGTTTCGTGCGTCGCGTCCTTTTGTCGTGCGTTGCGACCTGTTTTTGAGGTATTTCCATCGGGACTGTCATGGAGGATACTGACTATACAACACGCTACGAACGAGCTTCCCCCACCTCTTTCCTGCCCTTTCTTGACGAGAGCTGACTCACGACACGTGTACATCTGTACACGTTGTCGCACTTTGCCAAATAAATGTGTCGAGGCAGCATGCAGCAACGTATATGCTGGAGGAGTACGCTACGCTCCAGGATGACAGTCCCATTGTTGTCGACTTCTGCTGTTGTTCTCTTGCAGCTAGTTGGCAGGAAGGTGTGAGCGAACAGAAGCGAACAGAAGCGACCAAAGGGGATGGCATGCGCATCCGTCCTCGTGTGATACTTCTTGGCAGCGCATTGCTTTCCTTCGACTTGGGCTGGTCATTATTGTAAAGCACACGGGGCAACTCGCCTAGGTTTGCTGTGACGAGTTGCTCGGACCCGCTCACCGGCTGCACGGCTTTGGCGGCGAGCCCATTGCCTCGACAAACTCTGCTTGTTACGCATGGCAACGACAACACGTCGACGAACGGCTTTCTCGTCTATCCCCTGCCATCCGGTTGATGGTGTGGGCCGAACGTGGCGCTGAGCCACGTCCGCCCGTCGTAGCAACGCATACGAAAAGGCGTTAGGCCATGCGAAAAAAATAAGAGTCCCTTCGTCACGGTCTACGTCCGCACTTGGGTTGTCGACACGACGAAAGAAAGCCCATGGCGGATGGGATCGGTCGAGCTGCGTGGCGCTGGGTGAGAAAACAGAGCCTGTGCACCTGAATTTGACACGACTCTCGCCTCGATGCCTCCCGACAGCCGGACGTTCCTTCACATTGTCATTTCCCATTTCATTCAGCCATTGCGAAACCGCGTTTGACCCGTGCGCGCCCGTCAAAGCCATGCGCCTGCTCGCTCTCGTGCTTTTCCTAGTGGCGACGCTAGCAGCAACCAGTGCGAGCACAACCAGCTCTGAGCGACAGTATTCCGCGGGCACGGTGGAACCTGACGACTACCGAGACGAAGAACAACGGAAAGGCGGAGGAGGAGGAGGACGAGGTGGAGGTGGAGGCGGAGGCGGAGGCGGAGATGGAGGAGGTGGTGGTGTCCATCAACCGGTAGCCAGTATGGGGTTCATGTATGGATGGGACACGCCATGGCTCGATGAATGGTTCAAGAAGTTCAGAGCCAAATTTTGGAACCGCCTTTGGTCGTAGTCAAAGAATTAAGGGACCGAGTAGCTGTTCAAACGGCGTCGCCTTCGCGCGCATCACCAACAAGTGAACGTGATGCTATCTCAGACTGGAAGAGGATACGGAGACCAGCGCTGCCGCCACACTGAACCA